GATCAGTAATCTTCCCAGCTGGTATAATGCTGAACTGTTTCAGAACCAACTCGCAACTGGTGCTGAGTAAAAGCACTATATGCTCTTAAGATACGGCATGATTAAAGAATTAAAGTACATTTGAAACCTTAACAAAAAAGGTGTTGGCTAGTGTTTGTGAGAACTGATTGAACTAAAAACAACCTCTAAGAGAAGGAAGAATCTTTCTTCTCTAAGATTTAAACTTTACCTTACTACCAACAGAGCCTTCAAAGACATCTGAAGGATGTCTTCCCCTTATGCCTCAGGTCTGCTTAGTCACAATTTAGATTCTAAGCAAAATCATGTATTATTCACTCAACAAGTGTTCACTGAGCCCCTTCTATAGTCCCTTTTTGAGCAGTAAGTAAGGATAGTGAGAACAATCGAATCATAGTGTTTTTCTTCAAAGAATAACCTTGCCTGAGCCTTCCCTAGGACTTGGACAGTAGACCCTGGACTAGGCCTGAGAAATGATTTAGTCTAACCTCTTTGTTTTACTTTAACAGTGACAATGAGTGAATTAACCAAGAAAATGAGATCTAATAATGTTTCAATATCTAATCACTGCCCTCCTCAATTTCTCTTTGGAATGTAATTAAAATTAAATAATACTAGAAATGTTAGTATTCAGCAGGAGTCCAGTGGAAATATTTGGTAGGTACTTACGGAGAAGTGGAGGTCCTAGCCTGGCCAGTAACCCTCTGGGGGATTTGCCAGGAAGAGGAAGCACATGGTTGGGATGGCTCTGCTGAAGGACTGAAAGCCACTCCTCAGGGAAGCTGTTCTTCATCTAAGTCCCGCTCTACCTAGATACACCTGATTTCACAAAGCCTCAGTCACTATTTTAGGGGCTGGTTGAAGTGGTTCCCTAGAATCTAATAATGCTTTTCACAGCCCACTGGTTCTTTGTGATCTGCCCCTTCCTATCTTTCTGACCCTCTCGCCTTCCTTTCCCATCCACCTTCACCTTGCTCTGGCCTAATGGCTGTCTGTCACCTTGGAACCAGCCCTGCACATTTCCACTGTAGGGCCTGTGCACTTGATCTTCCCACACCCTGGAATGCTCTTCTCCTAGGTCTTCTCATGGCCTCTCCTTGGTACTCCATGTCCCTTCTAATCTGAGCTAAAGTCTCCCTTCTCCATCCTACTCTCTTCCCCAGACCCTCTAGCACTTTGCCATATTTTTCTCATAGTAATTATCAAGATTTGAAATAATATGTTTTTGTTTTCAGAATGTCTGTCTCCCCCATACAGAATATGTATCTTGAGGACATGGACTTTGTGCTGATAAAATTATCCCCAGCCCTTGGGACAAGACCTGGCACAATTAGGTGATGGCTGCCTGGGCTAATCTCAGTGGTGTACTACAGGAACCCAATTAACATACTGGAGTGGAAAATTATTAGTTAGCAATGGTATTTTATTAAGATGGCATTCAATTTAGTCATTTTCATATTTTATAGTTTTCATTGACACTGTCAGAGGTTTGGAAATCCACATCTTAGCAGATGACCTCTCTGGCTCTGTTTCTGTTTTGATGAAGTTACAAGGTGATTATATTCTGTTCAGATATCTGTCAAAAATGTGCACAAGTCAACACAGGATCACCCTAAAACAGGATGAGAGCAAGAGATGTGACTCTATCAGATACCACATATTTTATTCTCCTGTCTCTCAGCACTCTAACAAATCTCTGATCACCTTCTCCTTTAATCCTTACTGTTTCTTTTTTATTTTGCTTTATCACTTTGGAATTTGGAAGACAAGGGAGGACAAAGAAAAGGAGAGAGCAAGAGAGAAAGGAATGTGAGAACAGCACCCCAGGACACTGTAGCCCCATTTGGAAGTGGAGCACTATGAAGGAATACCCAAAGAAGAAGTTGAGCATAGTCTTAGGAAACCCTGTTGCTGTGAAAAGAAGATGAAGAGTTGGTAACTCTTTATATAAAGTCCCCTTTTCCAGGAATTCTTCCTGGATTAAACTTCCTATTTTCAGCTTGACTAGCACCTTCTCAATCCTCTCATGCCTTGTTCAGTATTTCATCCACCACAAACACATTGGCTGTGCTTACACCTTTGTTTTGTGGCCCCTTTCCTATCAGAAGCCCTCTTGGGTCAGCCCTCCTTGTGTACTGCTAAGGAGGTCCTCAGGGGTTATGTTCCTGAGGGAGGCACTCCATTTTCTGAACATTTGTGGAGGGACGACCACATATAAAACACTGTGCTTTGTTATGTGAAAGATTCCAAGAGGAAAGAGGTCTGACCTGGGACCTTGAGGAGCTTGCCAGTAAACAGTGGGAGGTAAGACTGGTAGCTGCTTCACTTTAATGCAAGGCTTAAAATAAGTGCATAAGAGAATGCTAGCCAAGGGCTCCAGGGGTTTAGAGGAAGGAGGCAGCACATCTGCTTGGGGAGAGCAGAAATAACACCAAGCAGGAAGGTGCATTTATAATGAATCTTGGAGGTATACGCCAAGCCAGTGTTGAGAAAGCACTGGTGCATTTGTGGACTAGCGCGGTTCAGTTCAGAGAGAGAGAAGAGTGTGAGATGATGTTGAGTGTGGCAGTGGAGGCTGTGAACAGAAATAACACCAAGCAGGAAGGTGCATTTATAATGAATCTTGGAGGTATACGCCAAGCCAGTGTTGAGAAAGCACTGGTGCATTTGTGGACTAGCGCGGTTCAGTTCAGAGAGAGAGAAGAGTGTGAGATGATGTTGAGTGTGGCAGTGGAGGCTGTGAGGGGAGATGGAGCTAAAACCAGGCTGTTCTGTTGCTGGGGTAGGTGAGGAAGGTGTACATCTCTGGATTTTCCCCCCAGAATGTTTACTCATTGTGAACATGTGTGTGGGTCCACTTTTCTCTTGAGCTGATCACTCAGTTCATTTAGAAGTCTTTCCCTTTATTTCCCTATTGAATATGTAAATGTCCTAGATGAAGAAAAGATGAGAAAGGCTGGGGCCTGAGCTGCTGGAGTACAGAGGGTCCTGACTGCACAGGAGTGAGCTGTGATCAGAGCAGGGCTTCAGGAGGATTTGTTTGTAGGAGTGAATTAGTTTGGGAGGTGGGAAGGAGGCCCCTGCTGTTGTCAAAATGGAAGAAGGAAAAGGCCTGACATCCCCAATCTATGGGATATAGGACTGAGGGGCAAGGAGTTGAGATGGAAATCTAGGGTGACTTTGAGGCATCAAGCTTGGAGAGCATGGGGAGGCCGTGAACAGGAACCTGGAAAACATGATTTGAGATGGAGGATGCTAAGTTTGCTTTGGGACATATTGAATCACTATAGATAAATATTTGGGGGTCATTTGTAGAAGTGAACTTTGAAATTAGAAGAGTAGATATCCCTAAAAAAGAGAAGGAAAGGGCCAAGGTTAGAAGCCTGGGAAGTGTTCCCTTGGTGGACTGTGGAGGGGATGGAGAAGCACAGCCACAGGAGTGCAAGTAATACAGGGAGGCAGTGGTACAGGAGCTAAGGGCGCCCAGAGTGCCAAGGGGAGGAAGTGGTCAAGGGGCCCGGGCTCTGCATGGCACATGGTGGGCTCTCGAGAATCGAACTGAGGTTTAAGATGATGGAGATTTGGCAGTTAAGTGGTTCTTGGTGTCCCCGGTGAGGACAGTGTCGGTGGCCAGTGGCCATATGCAGAGGTTATGGAACAAGTTGATGGTGAGCGAAGAGAGCTAGGCTAGTAGATTGTTCCTGAAAGTGGTTTGATGGAGAAGGGAAGAGAGACTTGAAATCAGGAAAGGATGGGTGGTAAGGAGAGACTGAAGGTAACCACTGGAATAGGACTCCAGAGGGCTGGGAGGCCATGTTTGTCAGCCTGTAGGGAGGAGGCACTGGGGCAGGAAAGCAAGCCAGGCTGAGGCGGAGAGAGTTCACAGGAGAGCCCAAGTCTTCCTAGTAAAATAGGAAGCGAGGTCACTGGCTCGGAGGGAGGAAATGTGGGCAGGGCTGTGGGTCTGAGAACAGCGGCTAAGACTGGAACAGCTCCCATGGTGGAAGATGTGGGGAGAGTCTGCCTGAGGCCTAGAGTGCTGAGCAGCAGTAACCAGCAGTAATGGGGTCAGACCGAGGCTCTGCGCACCAGGAGTGGGAGCGTCACAAAGCCCTTGGTTCTGGGCTCTAGGCTTGGCAGGAAGGCAAGTGCAGCCAGGTGGAGGTGAGAGATGCCTAGAAGTGAGAAGCAGACAAAATAAGTTTATAGAAGGAAAGGAGGAATTAGAGGGGAAAGCTATTGGATCGTTTATGGTTTCATGTTCCCTCTCTTTTGTGCAATATTTAATATTTCTCCATATAACTCCAGCCTCATGCTCCTAATGATTTGTTACTAGCCTTTCACTACTATTCTAGATTTTGTATTCTACAATGCAGAAAAAAAATGGAAACTGATCCTGGAATGTATTGACTGCTAAAATTTATATAAGGCATTGCTTTCAGCATTTACATACATTACCTTATTTACTGCTCACAAAAACCCTCTGGGTTTAAATAATAAACTTCTGGTATTCTTTTTTGAAGAAAATCAAAAAGAGATTAGGCAACTTGTTCAGGGTCACATAAGGAATGATCAAATTAAGTTTTGGACCCAGGCAGGTTGACTTAACCACTTTCTGAACCACCTCCTTGCTAAGAGATGCTGCAATTATCATAGCATGACTGTATTGATTTTTTTCAATCATTCAGTCAAGTTGTAGTAACAACTAGCCTCTGTATTGGCTAGTTTGGAAATCATATTCATCCACACTAATTCCTTTAGTTTTAACAACACTTCTGGGAGATTTACAGCCACATGCAGGATGAAGGAGAACTTCAACTCCAAGATCTCTATGTCTTTAGTTCTGGGAGTCTTTAAAAGTTTTGTCATTCTAGAGTTGTGACCAAGCCAAACAACTGTAATCTTTTTTTTCCTTTCTCTTAAACATGCTAGACTCCTTTTACTAAAGGAGCTCTCACCATAGACCGTCTGCTTCCTTCTAGGCCATAGAACTCTGTACGTGGGGGTTCGGATGCCCCTGGGCCGGCAGAGCCACCGCCATCACCGGACCCATGGCCAGAAGCACCGGAGACGAGGGCGGGGCAAAGGCGCCAGCCAGGGGGAGGAGGGCTCGGAGGCCCTGGCGCATGGTAACACTCTTAGGAGGGAGGGCAGGTGTCCACGGCTTGGAGCCTGGTGAGGCCGAGGGAGTGTGTGATGGACATGTTGCAGGTGGTCTTGATTCTCTAGCCCTTCTGTAGCGTTTTTAGAGCTAGCATCTAAGAAGAAGGAATGTCTCTGGGAATCAAATATCTCTTTCTAAAAGACATTTGAAAAACAATCAATACTGTAAAAGTCATTTGCTAGAGAATTAGCCATTCCTTTGATCAAATTCATCAGATTTCCAGTTTCTTGTGGGTTTTCTTCAAGAGATCTTAGTTAATAATTTTTTCCTCCCATGAAACCACTTCTGCAGAATAGCTTTTTTTTTCTGGGAATAAAGACATTTTTTTGATCCGTGTTTAGAATTGTCTGCTATATGTTCCTGAAATTAGAAGGCCCCCAAATGTTGCTAAGTATGACAGGACGTGGTTTCTGTTCTAAGCTGTGACAGGGAGCAGACCTTTCTCTGTGTTGATTTTCCAGATACACCATCTCAGCGTGTTCAGTTCATTCTTGGCACTGAGGAAGACGAAGAGCATGTGCCTCATGAGCTGTTCACAGAGCTGGATGAGATCTGTGTGAAAGAGGGAGAAGATGCCGAGTGGAAGGAGACAGCCAGGTGAGGCCCTGAAAAAGCCTGGGTCCGAGGTTTGCTTGCATAGGCAAATGTGTACCATCCCACAAGTGGCAGGCTGCTTGCCTCTTATTTTTTCATCAGAGATGTGAGGACTGACGTTTGAGTATTTGCTAGGAAGTCTTTGTGTTGTATCTCTAGTAACTTCTCTGCCAACTGACATTGAGCCTGGGATTGGGGACAGGAGCACAGAACCTTTAGGGGGTACTTTCTTATTTGTTTAGGCCCCAGAGTAGTTTCATGGGCTCTTTTGTTACTATGGCAGGCTTAGAAAATGCCTGACAGGACCACCTTGGTTTGGACCTACCCTGGCAGACGTAGCATAGGTCCAGACTCTTCCTGCAGGCAAACCAAGGGGCCATTTGGACTTTCATTCACTGAAAGTTCCAGAATTTTTGAGATACCCTTATGGACAATCTAATTGCAGGGAACCCTTGGGATTATAGCCAGGCTGACAGTAGCTTCCAGGGGTAGTTGTAGAGTGACTCTGCTTGTTGGAGGTTCAAACGCCAGAAAAGCCCTCAGTATCTAATGTCCCTCTAATAACTGACCAAGGAGCTTTTTGGATAAAAGCCAGCATGCCTGAGCCTCAGGGAAGAAGGCAAGATAGGTAACTAGCAGACAGTGGCTCCAGCTCTCATTGGAACAGCTCTTCCTGGAGGCCTGCTATATCCGTGGATGTTTTCTATGGGTAGAGAGGATAAACAAGCCAGTCGATCTGATACCAAGTAAAAAGGCAATTAGTCTTATTATTCTGTCTTTGCATGTTTCTGAACGTCATACAGGTAGCCTTTAAAAAAAAGAACAATATTACCATTTTATTAATGTGATTTGTCTGTATCCAAATGATATAGATTAAGCTTTTTAAATTGCACATGTAATACATATTCATTATGGAAAATTAGAAAATAAAAGCAGAAAGAAAATAAAAATTATGTAAAATCCTACTACCCCAGGGATAATGTAACATTTGGTTCCTTACACATGTGTGTATTTGTATTTTTAAAAATTTTCTTTAAATAAAAATGGAATCAAACTAAAGTCAGTTTTGCACTGTTTTATAACCTGCTTTTTAAACTTACCAATGTACCGTGCCATACAGATTTGATTATAATGTTTAATATAACTATTCAGATATCTTAGTGGCTTACATTAAAAATTCTCTTTTAAAAATTCCTCATTTTCTGTCTTTGGCATCTAGTTGTTTGTAATGCTTTCAGGTGGCTGAAGTTTGAAGAAGATGTTGAGGATGGAGGAGAACGCTGGAGCAAGCCTTATGTGGCAACTCTTTCATTGCACAGTCTCTTTGAGCTGAGGAGCTGCCTTATTAATGGAACAGTCCTTCTGGATATGCGTGCAAATAGCATAGAAGAAATTTCAGGTAAGATTAGGTGAGGGAAAATAGAGGAACATTGTAAATTGATGTGTGGTGTAGAGCAAAGTGTAAGGTGGCTATGTGTCCTTAAGTAAGTCACTTAACCTTCCTGAGCTTAATGTCCTCAGCTGCAGGATGGGTTTAAAATTAAGAAACTACTCTACCTGTTTCACAGGCTTATTATGGGATTCAAATGATTGGTGTTTAGTCTTCCATTTGGCCGTTCAGTCAACAAACATTTATTTTGTGTCTATTTACGCTTGATAATGTTCTGGGGATAGGGGAATAAAGACACACAGTTCCTACTCTCAAGGAGCTCTCTTGGTAGTGGGATAAATAGCCACAGAACAATTAAAACAAGTCCAACGGAGATGTGTTTTGGTAGTGATCAGAGAATACTGGAAGTTTGTGCAGAGAAAAAGGAGCTATAGTTAAAGAAAGATTTAAAAAATATAGCAGCTAGGGAAGACTTGTAAGAAATTGAACTGAAGTATTCCCAGTTTTCAGCAACATGTGAAGGAAATGTCTGATAGCGTTTCCTGGTATGGTTAAGTTATATGTTTTGGGAATGGAGTTTGAGAAATACTTGGGAGCAGGTAAGCATATTTTCCCCTCAGCTTGGCTTTGTGTGGCCGGATAGGTTAAATGAAGATTTCTCCAAACTTTTCTCCAACTCAAGTATCCAAGTAATTCTCTCTCTTGGGTCACATAGGAATCTGGGGGTGGTGATGGTTAGCACTGACAGGATCCTGTGTCCCCTCCGAAGGGGAAAGTTATTCCTTGTTTCTTCGGCTTCCAGTTTCTGGTGGCTCCAGGACTCCTTAGCTCATGGCTGCATAACTCCAACCTGCCCCTGTCTCAGGTGAACTTCTCAACCAATCTCTTCTATAAGAATACCTGTCAGTGTCATCCAGGATGCTCTCATCTTGAGATCCTTAACTTAATTGCATGTGCAAAGACCCTTTTTACAAAAAAGGTCACATTCACTGGTTCTGGGGGATCAGTACATAGATGTGTGTACTGGGGAGGCACCATTCAACCCATACAGAAGACATGAGGAGAGGAAGTTCCAATTCATCAGTGTCAGATGCTGCAGAGGTCAGGTTATGTAAGGACTAGACACAGCCATCAAATTGGCAACTGGTAGGTTATTGATGATTTAAGCAAAGACAATTTTATTAAGGTAGTCAAATTGTAGGGGGCTGAGGAATTTTTCATTTGAGAACTTAAAGTGATAGGAGTGAGAGGGAGAGAGGAGGCAGTGGATAAAGGGAGACCTGTGGTGAACATCTTCTTCTCTTTTTTTTCAAGATGAAGGATCCCGAAGCATGTTTATAATATGGGAGCAAGGAACCGATCAATGTAAAGAGTAAAGATAAACATAGATCTTTGGCTTGAATGTTCAAATTGGATTTTCTTTTATTTTTTCTAGCATTTGGATAGTCATGGATGGAGTTGCAGTTGAGAATTGGTTGCAGTTTTAGGGAGGCTTGGGGAGGTGTGTAGGATTGAAACTGCCATGGTTCTTCACATTCAGTACCTCCGTTCAAAATTCGATGTATTTATGTTAGTGATAAAGATAGGTAAACTCTATCATGTGTTAACTGTGAATCAGCACTTTATATATTATCTCATTAATTTTCTAAGGTGGATGATAATATTCATTACATATTACAGATGAGGAAACTGAGGTTCAGAGAGGTTATGTAACTTGCCCAAGATCACACAGCTAGAAGGTAGTAGAAGTGGGGTGGAATGTGGACCTATAGCTCTAGCACCCATACTGTTAACTGCTGTGCTGACTGCCTCTCCATAGCAGGTGCTGGGATTTCCCCTCAACTCTGCTGGGCTTGACAGCTTAAAGGTTCATGCTTTGTGGTAGCTGGCTTTGGTGTTTAGTTAACTTCATTATTCTTTTAGGTTCCACCTGTAAGTAGTCATTTATTCCTCTTGACAATATAGTTCCTCTTGACAATCACAGCAATATTAAAACCTTGGAGGAAGGGAATATAGAGGAACTTTGGCAAATGACGGAACAAAATGGGTAATAATGTGGGCTTTTGAGTCAGTCTGGGTTTGAATCTCAGCTCTGCAACTTACTAGAAGTGAGACCTAGGGGAATTTTGTAATGTTTGGACCCCAGTTTCCTGATCTGTAAAGTTATAATACAACGTACTTCTCAGAGTTTTTATAAGGATTAGACTCGATAATCTATGTAAAATTCAGAGTATGGTTCCTAGCACATATTAAGTGTTTAATAGCTTCTATTTCTAATAATAGTGATTTGTTACATGAATAAAGTATAACTTGTCATAGCTACTATTATCAAATAGCTCTGCCAGCCACTGGAAAGGAAACTGTACCTCAATGACCCTGGTGGAACTGCTTCCTTCTACTCCTTGCTCCTCACCTGAAATTGGCCTCTTTCTTTGGCCCTCAGTTTGAGTGTTCATATTCTTTTTCCAGATCTGATCCTAGACCAGCAAGAACTGTTCAGTGACCTGACTGACAGCATGAGGGTTAAAGTTCGGGAAGCCCTTCTCAAAAAGCATCATCATCAGAATGAAAAGAAGAGAAATAACCTCATTCCCATTGTTCGCTCCTTTGCTGAGGCTGGCAAGAAGCAATCTGATCCACATTCCATGGATAAAAATGGTCAGATTATTAAGAACTACTGTTTTCTCTTTTATTAGTAAGATATTTAGGAATTAGTTAGAGATGCTAAGTCACTAGAGGGTAGGGTAGCATTTGTCTAACATGCTTTCATGCTGGCATAAACAGTACATTTTGGTGATTGGCAAGATGGATGGCTGGGGCTGGTGACCATCTCTTTCTTGTGGCACTTCGGATTCATGCCTCAGGTAGATCTCAGTGGGCCCATGGTGATAGGTTTGTGCCCCAGAGTGGCCTCAGAATTGATGTAGCTTTGGGGAGATAGTCCCATACACTGGGGATAATTTGAGACCAGAGAAGGCCAAATGGAGCTTTTTAGGAGTAAATAAATATCTTAGATAAGGGAGGCAAAATACTATAGTACTAAGAGTTCCAGGCTTAAAATCCTGGCTTCACTAGCCAAGTGTGTGGCCTTGGGCAACCTCACAAACCCCTTTATATCCCACTTTCTCCTCTGTAAAATAAGGGTAATAGTAGGATCTGCTTCATAAGTTATTATGAGACTCCAATAAATTAATCCATGTAAAGCCTTTAGCCAGGTGCATGGTGGGTTGTAAACACTCATGAATATAGGCATCTATATTGGTCTCCTTGTCCCCACATTTCCTGAATCATAGTGTGCAGGATTTCTGCCTGGGAATTGGTATATTTGAAAAGTTCTCCATAGGCATCTCTAATAGGCACTCATAGTTAAGGATTAATAGAGGTAGAAAAGAGGGTCACATATGTGTTCTAGAAGGAGGTGCAGAAATAGTAAGCCCTGTGTCCTCCATTACCCCTTGCTGGCAGGTAAGGGGATGGGCATGTGTGAGTCCTGGCTTCATAATCATCTTAACGTCTTCTCTGTGGGCTCTGCAGGAGGTGGCCATGCCGGTGGGTGATGGATGGGGTGTATTAGGAGGAGGAAAGGGCAGACACTCAGAGAATTGTTTGCTTTTCTCCAAGTAGGTCAAACTGTGTCTCCTCAATCCGTTCCAACTACAAATCTTGAAGTAAAAAATGGAGTGAATTGTGAACACAGTCCCGTGGATTTAAGCAAGGTGAGCAGAGACATGGGAAGCTGACTTACAGGCCTACGAATATATCTAGTGGAACCCAGAGTCCAATTGCTGAAAGCTGGGTAAGTTTTGGTATTTGAACACCCTTTCTCCAAGACCAGAGCCCCTTCTGCAGGAAGGAGGCCCATCTGCTTATGTCTTCTCCCTTCTTCTCCAGCCTGCATGGGGCTGACTCCTTAGTTTGTTCCAGTGGGTTCAACGTGCTGAAACTGAGACTAGCCACTGATAATCCTCCCTGACACAGCCTTCCTGATTTCTCAGAATTATTTTTTAGTACTTGCTCTTCAGCAACTCTTTCTTATTATGTTCCAAGGGTTTTGCTAAACCACAGTTTTGCTACTGTCTCCTAAAACTACTTCATGCTTGAAACTCTTTCTGGGGACCATGCCTTCGGTACCCACAGCCTTCCACAGCAGCTGTGCCTACCACGGTTTGTGTTCCGAGCCTCATCGCCCTGCCTCCGGCCTCTCCTCTCTCTGGTCTGTCCTTGACACTCTCTAAAACACAGTGTCATGTCACTGCTTTGCTCATGAGCTCCCTGTTTTGTTTAGAAAACCTGAAATTCTGGAAAAGCATTTTAGAATGGAAAAAAATTGACCTAGAACTTCAAAAATATTCTTCTTTGAGGAAGCATGGTAATGGAATTCAAATCAGAGTGCCTGGATTTAAATTCTCTCTTAAAAGCTCTGTTGTCCTAGGCAAGTCAACTTCCTCTCCCTGGGTTCTCAAGTCACTTCATTTTTCAAAATAAAGAAGATGTAGTATATCCACCTTACAGTTACTGTAAGGAGCAAATGAGATAGTGTGAGAAAACATTTGCAATCATGAAATGACATATGAATGTATGGTATGAGGAGGGTGACAGATGTTTGAGTTGATGGCTTCCAACCTGTCAGAGGGTTTTTCTGGACTTTCAGGTGGACCTTCATTTCATGAAAAAAATCCCCACTGGAGCAGAGGCTTCAAACGTCCTGGTGGGAGAGGTGGATACCCTGGACCGCCCCATTGTCGCCTTCGTGAGGCTGTCCCCAGCTGTCCTTCTCTCAGGCCTCACGGAAGTGCCCATCCCAACACGGTAAAGACAGAGACTGCAAAACTCAGGTCATTCTGTCTAAAGTACAGGTTTTTGTGAGCTCTGGTGGAGGAAACCAGCTAATTCCAAAATTTAGGATTAATTAGCTTTGGGAATCCTGTTTGAAATTCAGCAGTGATCTTACTGGGGTATATCTGATTAACCTCCATGCAGAATTCTAAGACTGTTAAGGTTAGGACTACGCAGTACCTGAAGCCTTGGAAAAGCATTCACGTGGCATAGCAAAGGCTAATGACTCATTGTGCTGGGAAGCCTAATCCTACTGTCCCAGTTCTGTAGAGCCACATCCTAGAGAAACATCTCTGAGCAAAGACATTGACGTCTCTTTTCACAGTTCTGGCAGGATCTGTATGTTTGCAAATATATCTACATTTGTTCAAAAGACTATTCATGTACTCTGAAGGTAGTGATTCAGGTGATTCAGAGCCCCATTAATCACAGAGTATTCAGATGTCCAGAACACAATTTAGACTCCTTTACTGGGCTTGATCATTTCAACTTCTTTATCCCTCTTCTCTCCCCATCATTTTCTTATTAGAGCAATGAATGAGGTTCAGCTAACCTTGAATTTGCACTACAATGCCATGTTTTAGAAAAGCATCCTTTCTATAGCAAGGGATTGTGTCCATGGAGACCCTGGGAATAATAACCACATTATTGAATGGAATCATACACATAGCTTCCAAAGCTTGTAGTGGAGCTGTTGGGTTAAGGTGACTCATATTGCTCCATCATTAGACTATTTCCTTTTATTAAAGGTACCGTGATGACTTCTGTTTGATAGGAGAGAGAAATGTTCTTGCTGTTGAGAGAGAAGTAAGATGCTACTTCTTTGTTTACTTACATGATTTCATCTTCTGTGTGTATTGCCAGATTTTTATTTATCCTATTGGGTCCAGTAGGGAAAGGTCAGCAGTACCATGAGATTGGCAGATCCATGGCCACCATCATGACAGATGAGGTATGCACCCCTTCTGCTTTCCTCATTCACCCTATAAATATGTCTTGAGTATTTACTCTGTGTCAGGCCCTGTGCTGGTTGTTGGGGATGAAATAATTACAACTGCGATGTCTGCTGAGAAACAGTTCAGGTCATTTCTCTGAACGCCTATTGTGGGAGGACCAAGCCTGCTGGGGGACATTTTTTCCTATGTCATCTCTCCCTTTTTGAGTAATCAGGTTGCAGAGAAATCATTTTTGAGGAAGCATCTTAGGAAAATTATTATTGTCAATTAGGATACCTAAAGAGAAAGATATTAAGGCTGAAAGGCTGACAACTTTCTAGAGAAGATAGTTAATTAAATGCATCCAAGCTATTTCCATAAAGAACTCTCACTCCTGTTCTACATAAATGATACCAGTTTGTGTAAGGGTCAGAGTTATGAGCTTGGGCACTGTGATGTGCCAGACAACCAGACGTTTGTTTACCACGGTGCTGAGCCCCCACTGCATACCAGAGTGCCGACTGCTCTACTCATGTAAGCTGCAAAGCACGGCTTTTAAAGCACATGCCTTAGCAGCCAGAGGGACATGGGGGCTGTGTTTTACTAGCTCTTTAATTGGGAGGCCTTTTTCATTGGCCCATTTAACTGGGAGGACCTTCATTAATAATTCCCTCCAGCTTTTCCAACTGTTAAGATCAGGAAAACTTTCCCATGCATCTTGCCTTTTGTTTCATCCTTTGAGGAAATAACAGAATTATACCACTTTAGAGTCATGTCATCTCTTCTTATGCTAATAGACATATATTTAGTGCTTTTAGATCCATCTCAATGTCAGGGTCAGTTTTATCCTTCATCCTTGCACTTGTCTAAGTGCTAGAGTTATCCACCCTCAGATTCCCCTAACAGAGATGGAAATCAAGAGGTTATATCCATCCTTCACCTATCCATTGGTGATTGTTTTAAGTAAAGTTATTTTCACTTTCCTGAGGGTTTTTTCTTCTCTGTAGATTTTTCATGATGTGGCATATAAAGCTAAAGAACGAGATGATCTTCTGGCGGGGATTGATGAGTTCCTAGACCAGGTCACAGTGCTCCCTCCAGGGGAGTGGGACCCCTCCATTAGAATTGAACCACCCAAAAACGTCCCTTCCCAGGTAACGTATGCACATTAGGCAATGGTGGCTTAGCTCTACTTCCTGACTACATACCATGGACAAAGCAAAGGAAGGGCATGTGGATATGCTAAACATATCAAGACATGGCCCTGTTTCAGTGCACCTAGAATGTCAGAACACTAATAAAAAATGAATATGCAGTAATATAGTTTGGCTCTGGTGTGATGGGATCAGTCAGGATCTTTTGAAGGTTTGATGTGGAATGGCGGAGAGGAGAGGGGAGGACATTTCTTGAGAGGGTATCATAAATGAGGCCATTAAATGAAAAGAACAAGTTGTATAAAGAGAGCAAATAGAGGGCTCCATACTTTTTGAAAGGTTAAAGATAGGAAGGGAACTCCTACTGTGTGCTAGACAACTGGCCAGGAGCTTTACGTAAGCCCATTCAACCTTCCCAGCAACATCCAAAATAAGTATTATCCTTAATTTTGCAAATGAGGTATAAAAATATTTTCAAGTTTTTAAGGTAAAGTAATACTGTGCAGAGGCAGATTGAAACTGAAACTTAGGTCATATATGATGTGAAAGCCTCCATTTTTTCTGTTTCTGGGCAAAACAGAGTTAGGAATCAGGCACTAATGGAGAGGAGGAGAAATTATTTGTTGTGTTTTTTTTTTTTTCAATAAACTGTCCCAAATCAGTAAATGCATTTGAAAGCTACAAACAAACACCTGGGCACAGACTAAACAGCTGATTTTATTAATTTTTTATTCTTTGTTTAAAGGAGAAAAGGAAAATGCCTGGAGTTCCAAATGGAAATGTTTGCCACATAGAACAAGAACCACATGGGGGCCACAGTGGGCCAGAACTTCAGCGCACTGGGCGGTAAGTTCTGAGACATTTCACAGCTGATACCGCATGACTGGGCTCAAGTTGTGTAAAGGAATGAGTTATCCTCTTTGCTTTCAGCCTTCTTCTCTGTAGTATTTTTATTGGCCAGGAATGACTTTTCAAATGGAACCACTGACTATAAGTATTATGAATATATCAAATACTGTATTTATTCATTCAAGTTTCTCAGCCACCTGCCATGTTTTGCCTCACCTCCAGTCCTTCCCACACGTCACTCTCTCTGATTTTAGCACTCATGCCCTTCCTCATCTCTTGGCTAATGGCTACTTATCCTTTTGTCTCAGCTTAGGTGTCCCTTCCTTTGGAAAGCCTTCCAGGACTCTCTGTAGATGAACATTCCTGCTATATGGGGGCACAGCTTTCAGCTCTGCCCCCACTCGCCTGCCGCTTGCCCCACTCCCGTTACAGCCCTTGTTATGCTTTATTATTATTGCTTCACTTGTTGTCTTTCCTCCTGGAATTTTTGTTCTATAAGGGCAGGGACGCCATTATATCCTTAGCACCCAGCACAGTGCCCTGCACAGAGAAGGTGTTCAATATCTGATGAATTAATGAATACTTTTAAAAAGTATGTCTGTTCTGTAGCATGAATGGACTAGATATAGATAAATATTGAGTGATTATTTTAGGGAACTCCCACAGGATAGGAAAATAGGTACTATTTTAGGTGTGTGTGATCTCAGAATAGTTAATTTACTCTCTAGGTCAAGATTTTAGGGACAGATGTCCAAGAAAGAGGTTGTCTAGGGTAGGTGAGGGAGGCAGGTCCCAGATTAGGAGGTTTTATTTGCCAGGTAGGAAGTAAAAGAGGATGATATTTTGGGTTGGAGTGACATTCAGACATGTCCCCCAGATTGTGGGAGAAGGTTGAGACTATGGTTCTGGCTCTGTAAGTTTTGCTTGTGTCTAAGAAGGATCTACTAGGCAGAGACTCTCGGAACAGGACTCAATTGTGAAAGAAGCTTTTCAATGTCCTCTGCTCCCTTGCTTTCACCTTATTTTTTTTCCTCCTTGCTTCAGGTTGCTTTCCTTATTTTTCTATCCTCAATTCTCTACCTGTGGAAACTCATGGTTTTTTTGGAATTGAGGAGAGTGACTTATTTTTCCACTCTTGAAAATTCAGGGAGAAGCCAGGAGGGGAAACTGAGAAGCAGGAGAGATGGCGCTTAACCAGCAGTGTCCTGATAGGGAGTGTGCTTCCTGGTTGGAGGGATGCATTTGTGGGTGTGGACAGATGATGAGGCTCCAGGGAGGGGTTACCCGAGGAAGGGAGAGCCCTCTGACAGCAGGGGTTGCTGAAATGAGGGAGCAACCTCCAAGAGAAGATTCAACATTTTCTTTTAAGTCGGGAGAGGTCCAAATTGTGTGGAGAGACCTGGACCTGGTATTGAGAGAGAGTTCAAGGGAAGCAGCTGTCCTTCCCTCAGTCCTAGAATAAGATTGAGACTATCCTAGATGAGGTGGTGTTTTTTAGAGGAAAAGTCTTGGGCGTGGATTTGATAGGATTTCAGAGTTATGATGGGTCTGTTGAATATAAATGGTATCCACACCCCAGGACGTAGAATTTGTTAGTAGTGTAAATGAGGGCAAAAGGTTGTGCACACAGGTATCTATGCAAAGGTGAGGTTTCAGGTTTCCAGGGTTGTTTGTTTGTTTGCTTGTTTATTAAAGTATTATTGATATACAATCTTATGAAGGTTTCACATGAACAACATTGTGGTTTCAACATTCACCCATATGATCAAGTCCTCATCAGGTTTCCTTTGGTGTCAGTGGAGAATCACTAAGAGTCCCAGGCCTTCTGAGGGGGTCACTTATAATCAGTTCCACATGGGGGTTCAGGCGACCCCTAGATTGGATCTCAACAGTGATAGAATCTCAGAAATGGTGGCTGACATCCCAAAAGAAAATCCCATGTAGCCAGGATCATCACATGCTTATTCATAAACCCCTCTATTTACAGTAACAAAGTCCCTTCACTCACAAACTCAAATTGGGTTTGAGGAAGTTCTCCTGTGATGTTGGGCCAGAAACTTGAGGGACAGACAAGCTGAAAGAAAGGGTTATTTAGAACCAGAGCCTAGGCGTGCATGTTGTGGGAGAGGCATTTCCTCCTGACCCGGAGTTTTCCTCGGACCCCTCAGTGAAAGACCGAAGACACATGGGCCTCCTCCTATTGTAGCCTTTTATGCTGGGTGGCCTAATGACTGCACCCGGGGGTTATATTCTGTGCTAACTCTGGCCCTTTTCTCCATCTCAGATTATATAGGGAATGAATGGGGACTTTCCCCTGCAGATGGACATCCTAGAACTTTCTGGGCCTTCCTAGACTGCACAGACTAAAAATACATTAGCCTGGGTTTTATGATTTTTCATATCATTAGTTGTATTTCTTTGAGGCAGAAAACGTGCTTTGTGCATATCATGTTATAGAACCTGGGGCAAAACTTGGAGATTTAGGGGATGCTATTCTCACTGGATGGAGAGGTATTTGAAGATGGAGTAGTATAGACTCTTAAGGAGAAGAGAAGGGAGACATCATTGAAAATAGTACTTTGAGTTCATTCTCTGACCTGCCACCACCCCAGGGCTAAGACAGTGTCTCCGACCTCCCCGATGTTGACTCAGCCTGTGATGCAGTCATTCCTATCCGCAAGGAAGAGGAAAGTCTGACTGGATTCCTAGGCCAGAAGCTTCACATCAGGGAGGATACTCTAGAAGGGGTTTTCCCTTTAGATTTATGTACTTTGCTGGGGATGTCACTTTGGGGAAGGGCTCATGAAAAAAGAATCAGGAACTGCTATCTCGATGATCCCCCGCACTTCAAACAGGTTTCTTCCAAAGCACACCAGACAAATGGATGGCTGTCCTGTCCCTAAAGCCCTCCAGAGAAGGGTTCCCTAAGTCAGTGCTCAAGAGCCTAGTGACCCTCTCTACACGGGTAAGTCCTTTCTTGCATCAAGCTTGAAGTCATGTCCCTGTGTGCCTCTCCCCACAAAAAACTTGAACATTCATCAAGGGTAGTACTGAAAGGGAAAGAAATCTCCTTGTGGAGAGAAGCATCCATGCCTGATTAATGTCTGTGGTAGATCTGCAATTTTCATGGCCTGATTTTATGCATGAGTGAGGTATGTGGCTGACTCCATAAACAGTACTCAGAAATTATTTTATTAATTTATAGTTATGCCAGCTACAAGAGCCTCAGATCCTTTCTCTCCCCTTTTAATCACTGCTAAGCAGGTAGATGTCCCCCCTTTCCATGGCTTCTCATAAACCCATTTCACATACATCCTTTGCCTGTACGCCCAGATGCTCCTTCCTGAACATGCCTCCTCTATCTGGGAACCAGTCACGGCAGCATCTCAGGTTGCCTCGGGGGTGAGGATCATTATTGCTGAAGGAGATTCTTCTCCCAGAATAATACCTTCTAGAGGAAGGACATCAGCGATTAAGAGGTGATATTCACAAGATGCTAACATGCTGTGTTGGCTAAGGACCCAGAAACACTTGAATCTTGTTCCAGACTAATCACAGCTGCTTGGAAGGTCCTGGAGGGGTTGTTTTCCTAGAGAAGAAAACAAGACAAGACAAAGTGACACTTTATTACGAACTGGAGCCTTGGTCCCAAACCCTGAGGTGGGGCTCTGATGCTCTAGGTTAGACAATGTAGGTAGGTCCTCACCTAAGCTAGGCTTGCCAGGCAAGCTAAAAACAAAACAGTTCCAAGGCTGGCTTTGCCTCTCTCCCCTAAGCCAGACCCACACTGTGATGTTACACTGTTAGTTGGGAAGGGTGAATCCCAACTACACCCATCCAAACCAGAGGGAAGGAGTAAGTGGGTGGATAGAACAGTGTCTGCCCTGTGTCCACCTGCCCACCTGCCCACACTTCCACTTGGCTAATTGAGAGAGAGCACTCGAGTGGAGGAAGATCACTGGCTGGGCTTTCTCCCCTGGCACATAAGCCCCAGGCCTCAAGGTACTCCTCCAGGCTCCTAGGCAGAGAGAAAAGAAAGAGCTGACCACGCCTCCTTTCATGGAAGACTAGCTTGCTTTTTTTGGTGTTTGTTTGGTTTTTTTTTTTTTTAGCTTTTTTGTTATAGAAAATTCTGAACATATAAAAAAGAAGAGAGAATAGTGTAATGAAACCCCACGTGCCTATCAGCAGTTATCAACATTTTTCCAGTCTTGCTTAATCTATTTCTCCCCACTTAATTATTTTATTTTTATGTTTTCCAGATTTTAAACCAAATCGCTGGTATCATGTCATTTTACCTGTAACTATTCAGTATGTATCTCTGTTTGATAAGGGCATTTAAAAAAACAACTATCATGCCATTATGAAATCTAACAAAATTAACAAATTCTTTAAATTGTCTAATGCTCAGTCCACATTCAACTCTTTGTAGTCATCTTAGCAACATATTTTTTTAGAGTTCATTTGTTTGCCATTAGATCCCAAGGTTTGCATTTGGCTATTATGTTCCTATTCTGTAACAGTCCTCCTTTTGTTTTCTGTGCCATTGATTTGTAGAAGAAACCAGTAGTTTGTCTTGTAGAATGCTGAGAGGTTCTTTTTGTAACTCACCTATCAACTGTCACCCTGAAGCAGTGACTCTACTCACAGAGAGAGTGACCCACTCTGAGCCCTCCTCCTCCTTGAGGCGGGTATCTTGCTCTGGAGCCGTCTCACCCTGGGGAAGTGGAGGAGGCTCTGGAAGTCCCGCCACCAAGTCCTGTTGAGGCTGCCTGCTGATTAGCCCTTGAATCCATTCACTTCTCAGCCAAACTAACCACCTCCAATCTTGCCCCATGGTCCATTTATTGCACCCCTGCCAGAATGGTTCCTCCAGAATGCATGTTTAATTATGTTGCTCTCCTATTTACAATCCTTCAGTGACTTGACATGCCGTTAGGATAAAGTTCTCATTCTTTAACATGGCCAGGCCCTTTGTGACTTGGCTTCTCCAGCTTCTCCAGCCTTGTCTCTTGGTATTTGCCCTCACGGTCTTACCCAGCCACATCTGTGTCAGCACCTTGAACCCGCCGTGTGCTCTCACCTCTAGTTGTGACCAGTGCTACCCCCTCAGCCTCACCTGGCTAACTCCTGGTTTGTTTTCCGGACCCCGGCTGAAGTGCTCCTCCCTGCTCTGTGCTGCTGCGGTGCCCCCACAGCCCTGCTTATCTCCCGTCCTAGACCTTTAGTCTGCAAGAGAAGGGCTGTGTGGCCCTGCTCACCGCTGTATCTCCCGTACCTGGCACAGAGCCCAGCACGGAGTATCTGCTACTTCTTATCAACTGCATGAATGAATTTTTATGCTAATTTTTCAAGAGTAACGTGGGTAGTTGTTCAGAGTAGGAAAGTGCATATGACAGGGGCTTTTAATCTAGAAAACATATAATAAAACTAACAATTTTAATACCTTGAATTAGTTGTGCACATTTCCTCCTAATAGCTCAGAATTTGAAGTTTCCAGCTAATACTTAATTCCATGGTAATTTTTGGCAAATTTTTATTCAGTGGGTAATAGCACACCCCAATTAATTCTTTTTATGCTTGGGGTAATCATTCAAATTCATGCCCTTGGTTGCAAATAGAATCTCTGCTCACTCCAGAGATCTTTCTCCTATCTGGGGTCAAACTGAAGCCAAAGTATTACCTCAGTACAGAGCACATTTGAAGTGCTTTCAAATGTGTGCTGTTTGTTGCTTTTATGGGAGAGGGACTGCATTAGAGGCCTGTCTGCCATCTTTCCACAGGCTCTTTGGGGGCTTGGTGTTGGACATCAAACGGAAGGCTCCCTGGTACTGGAGCGACTACCGGGATGCACTCAGCTTACAGTGTTTGGCCTCCTTTCTGTTCCTGTACTGTGCCTGCATGTCACCTGTCATCACCTTTGGGGGACTGCTCGGAGAAGCCACTGAGGGACGCATAGTAAGAACTTTTAACCACTTCTAATGGTCCCAAACAAGACTTAAAATATTGTGGTGGCAGTCAAGTCCACTGAGGCAAAAACTCGTTGGATGAGAACTCAGGAGATTGGATTCTTTCTACTAAATTACTATATTCTTCTAACTTCATACCCAGCGGCAACAGTTCTGCCATTAGAATAGATGCTCTTTTGCTTGAATATTAATTTCAGTAGCTGATTTCCCAGTTGAATTGCCCATTGTACCAAGGATAGAAAATGATGTACTGATGTCATTTGAAAATAAGATTCAAGGTGACTCCATATGCTAGCTTGTAGTGTGAACGGTATCATTGTGCTTTCTGTATATATTTAAATACTGGATTGAGTCACGGCAGAACAGGACTTAGGGAATATGTGTGGATGGATTTGGGCATCTGAATTATCAGTGATATTCATTTACAGGAATATTAGACAGCATGTACACTTCACTCTTGCTAAGATGAAACTCAAGCAAATGCCTTGTCAAGGCACACAGGAGAGCTCAGCCAAGACTGTGCACCAACTCGTGTTCCTCATTACAGATGGGCTGCAGATTCAGTGATGCTTCTTTTCCCCCCTCCCTCAGAGTGCAATTGAATCCTTGTTTGGAGCTTCCATGACTGGGATTGCATATTCCTTGTTTGCGGGACAGGCTCTCACCATCCTGGGAAGTACTGGGCCGGTGCTTGTGTTTGAAAAGATTTTGTTCAAATTCTGCAAGTAAGACATTGGTTTTCTGAAAACTAACTGGGTGTGTTATTGTGCCGTTAGGATTGAATGTCAGAGTCCTAGATGAGTATAAGCAGGAAAATACCTTTCTGGGCTGCACAAACCTGAAGGAAGAATACCATTTGGTCTGTTGTCCTGACCCTAGGTAGCACCATACCTAAAGTAGCAGTTCTCCTAGTCCTAAAGAGTTTTATTAATGTCCCTCAGACATCACTGAAGACTTAGCTTTTTAATCTTTAAGAAAACTTTCCCTACTTGATTCAAACTATTCCCTACTTAATGTAAATCCATTTCCATTCTACGTTGATTTTGAATTTGGCCTAATACCCACCCTTGACATTCTGGTTGCTAGTAGTAGTGGGGACTCAGCCAGGCCACCATTTCCCTACTTTTCCTATAAAATCTCTTTTTCATTTTGTATTAGAAGTAGGAGCATGTGGAATAAGGATCAACTCCTTTTTCTTAACTGCAAGAAAAAGATTTTAATCACAGTGGGCAGAAGTGTGTGTGGGACCACTCCTTCCTTCCCCACTTCCCATGCCTTTGCTGTGGCAAAGTCCACCTGTGAAGGAAATCTTGGTCACAGCTGTCCCAGGACAGGATTTAGGAGTGAAGTCAAGGGAGAACTAGGGATAAAAATGGGCTGCAGTACTGGAATGGATAATATAAGATGAATTAACCACGTTTCTGAGCCTTTGTCTCATAATGCTGTCCACCCATGGTTTTGATGAACTTTGGTGTTGTTTCAGGGACTACGCTCTGTCATATCTCTCTCTGCGAGCTTGTATTGGACTGTGGACCGCCTTCCTGTGTATTGTCCTTGTGGCAACTGATGCCAGTTCCCTTGTCTGCTACATTACTCGCTTCACTGAAGAAGCATTTGCGTCCCTGATTTGCATTATTTTCATCTACGAAGCAATAGAAAAGCTGATTCACCTGGCAGAGACCTACCCCATCCACATGCACAGCCAGCTGGACCACCTTAGCCTATATTAGTATGTCTGCTTTCTGCTTGTCTTTTTTTTTTTTTTTTTTTTTTGAGCAAAGGGCCTGAGGTTAATGGCTGATGTAGTAGGCCAGGCAGCGCTTGTAGCTTCTGTTAAGGAAGTATCTTGGCCCTCTGGGACACAGAACTCTGAGATAGGTGTGGAGACTTGAGGGCTGCCAGAGGAGAACAGTCAAAGGTGATGATGGAGAGCATGGACTAAGAGTGAAACTCAGAGGGACTTGAGAAATACTTCCCAGAGCACATCTGTTGGTTCCAAGCATTGAGACAAAGATAGGCTGCAAATGTAAAAGGAAGAACTTTTTGTCAGGACTTGTGAGACTCTGGACCATGTTGTTAAGATTCTCTGAAAGTGTATGCAGGCTACTCTCAGGTAGCATTAGGTAGAGATACATTAATAATTCCTTACAGATCCATAGGTCTCTTGCTCTGTGTTCTAAAGATCTAGAAATCTATTTGCTCACCTAGATTTCAACTGAAGAGACTGTGTTTTCTTCACAGGCTCAATATAGTCCAGATAAACTGGAAAAGAAACACAGTATTTGGCTGTGTTTTCAGCCATCTAGGAGAGGCTGGTCCTATAAAACACTTTTTCTCTGGTATAGTATTCTATGAATTATGATGAAAGACCCTCATCCTTTAGTTTTGTATATCAGGTTCCCTCCCTCCTGGCTGTACGTATCAGATACAGCAGGTCTGATGGTGAACAATTTCAACCTGAAAACTGCCCGAGCAGAGAGAGCACACTGCCTGGAGGTGTCTCCTAACTAGCCACAATGTAGTTTTATAGATTCTAGTTATCCATTCATTAACCTTTTTAAAAAAAATAATTCATATAAAATTTAAAAAATTATTTTTTTACAAAATAACCAATAGGGAGCATAGTCTTTTCAGCCTAGTGGATTGCCGGTTGGCATTGGAGTTCTGGATTGCTCATTGGCATTGGACTAAGGTTCATTCTTTGATAATCATTCACTTATCCATTTAACACATTTTTGTTGTGCACCTACTATGTTCCAGGCACTGTTTTAGGTCCTGGAAACATAGTGGTGAACATGATAGACAAAGGATCTACCCTCATGAGGTTTATATCCTAGTAGGAGAAGACAGACAAAAAACAGACCTGGACTGAGTAGACTGGATCTGGATACTGTAACTCTTTGTTAATAAAACTCAAGATGGTATTTTTCTTAGTCGCATTCCACTGTTGGTTCATATGGAACTGATGTGAAGCTAAAACTCTCCCATCACTTTAAATGATGTTATGTTAATGTGTGGATCTGATTTAGTCAATAGACTTACTTTTTCTTAAGAGCAGTTTTCATGTTCATAGTAAATTGAGCAGAAAGTACAGAGAGTCTCTCCATGCCCCCTGCCCCTGCACTGCACAGCCTCCCCACTATGAACATTCCACATAAGACTGGTATGTTTCTTGCAATCAGTGACTGTATAGTGACACACCGTTACCACCCAAAGTCCATAGTGTACATTAGGCTTCACTCTTGGTATTGTACATTCTATACTTTGATGAATGTATAACAACATATCCACTGTTATAGAATCATATAGTATAGTTTCACTGCCTGAAAAATCCTCTATGCTTTGCCTACTCATCTGTCTCCACTACTCCAACACCTGGCAACCACTGATCTTTTTTACTGTCTCCATAGTTTTACCTTTTTTCCACGATGTTATATACTTGTAGTTATACAGTATGTAGGCTTTTCAGATTGGCTTCATTCACTTAGTAATACACACTTAAAGATCTTCTCTATCTTTTTATGGCTTTATAGCATTTCTTTTTAGTACTGAATAACAGACAGTCCATTGTCTAAATGTACTACAGTACATCCATTCACCTACTGAAGGATATCTTTGTTGCTTCCAGGTTTGGAATTGATTTTTTATACCTAAATGTAGGACTTTATAACTTTTCTTATTACTTTTCATTTCGTTGGCTTCCTGTTATTATAACCTGTTGAGATCTTTTTGAATTTTAATTCTGTCATGCTATATCCCTAGAAGGCATGCTCATAAAATACACAAATGGACAAGCAAAGTTTGTGGGAATGCCTATGTCAGTTGAGGCATGAAGCATGATGGAACTGGGAAGCAACACGGTGGCCAGTGGGACAAGTGCAGTCGGGTCTGGTTTAGACGGAAGAAGGGGACTGGGAAAGCCAGAGACTGGCCAGGGTAGAGGGATATTGCCAGGGATAATACAGTGTCAGGAAGAGCTTGTGTACAGTTTCAGGAGGCTCTGATTGTGAAAGCAAGACTGTGATGGGGGAATAGGGAGCAGGATACCTAGGCTTGGAGGAAGCTGTTGAGGGCTGAACCGGGTATCAGGTCCTCCTTGCTATGTAGATTGAGCTTCATAGGAAGAGCCTGAGAGAGAGGAAGAAAGTAAGGAAACTGCTAGTTCCATCCAAGACCCACACATAGATATGAGTCTGTCTTTAGTAATGACTGCCTAAAAACCTGGAGTGTGGTTGGGCCTACAGATGGGCCTCAACCAAAGGACCAGTCTCAAGAATCTGAAGTTGCCAAAGAGAAACAAGGCAGGTGCTGACAGGGCCTTTAGCCCAGTCATGGCTAGAAATATTGCACTGCTTGCTTACTGCTTTCCTCAGGAATCTTTCTTTTTCCCTCAGCTGCAGGTGCACTCTCCCGGAGAATCCCAGCAATCACACCCTGCAGTACTGGAAGGACCACAACATCATGACCTCAGAAGTCCCCTGGGCCAACCTGACCGTTACTGTGAGCACTGTGCCCACCAGGTTTAAGAGGGCCTTCGAGGTAGAAGTGGGAGAGCCAGCCCTTCAGCAAGCTCTAGTATTTTCAGAAATAAAGCTTTTTCTTTAAGTCTATTCATACTGAATCTCCCTCTTCAAACATTCTCTTGTACATAAATAGAAAAGGTTACCTCTCTCTCCTCTCCCACATGCATCCCACAGAGGAACCCTGCACTAGGTATATATGGGAATGAAACCGGGCAGGGCAGGGGAGCAGATCCAGTTTTGTGGGGTTGAAGAACATTCAAATTTGGAAATCCTCTGTAATCTAAACAATACAAATTGCAGGGCCCTGAATCTCAAGTTTGCTTGGGATAATTCTGGTTTCATTTTCAGAAGTATCTTAGTGAGGATCATAAATACTCACCCCACTTGGAAGGAGCCTGTGTAAGGAAGAGCCCCACAGCTGCAACTGTGGAATGACAGATGAGTGGTGGCCTCACAGGGCTGCAGCTGTTTTTCCCTTATGCCTGCCTTCCATCAGCCAGGATGTTTGTCCCTCCAGGAATGCCAGGAGCTGCATGGAGAGTTCATGGGATCTGCTTGTGGCCATCATGGACCCTATACTCCTGATGTGCTCTTTTGGTCCTGCATTCTCTTCTTCACCACCTTCATCCTCTCAAGCACCTTAAAGACATTTAAGACAAGTCGCTATTTCCCAACCAGAGTAGGTAGCATGCTCATGTATATCTTCTCTGTTAGAATTCTAATATAACAGAGCCTGTTCTCAGGTGCCATGCTGCTTGCTGAATTGAGTGGCAGGTGAAGAGCTCCAAATGTCCTGATGAGCCACGCTGTGCCATTCTCTTCTTCTAGTGTCTGGCAGCCTCCTTAATAGATGGGTAGTGTGGAATGAAGGGTTAATACTTAAAAAAACTTTTTGATTCAAAAGTGCCAGGTGAGTTTAAGGTGGTAGTAGTGTTCTCTAGAAGCTATTAAGTCTCATTTCCAGGATGCCGGGACATGTAGCATGCAATAGTTAGAGCTGGCTCCTAAATCCTAAATATGGTAAGTTGGGATGATCTCTTTGGGTAGATAGGGGGCCCCAAGGTCTCCTCCTAGGGGTGGCTTGTATAATAGCTTATGAAATCACTGGTCACTTTGGCTGCAGCAGCTAAAGTGCTCCTGACTTGGTTTGCCTGTTTAAGTCTCAACCTTTCCCTGATGCAGGCGGCACTGTTTGTATCAAGACCAGTTTTGGTGGGACAGGATTAGAGGCTGTGTGTAGAGTGGCTAAAGGGCCCTTTGCTTTGAAAAGGAGTTCATATCAGGAGGAAGTGGTTTTTCTGTAAGTGAGGCTTCTTTCCATCAGGCACATTTGCAGAACAGGATGTGTGTGAATGGGTTGAGGGCTCATTTGATTAGATATTTACTGCATACACATACATGACTAAAACACATTCTTAGACTTCACTGAGCCTATACCATAGTTAAGGGAGGCACATGTTAAATAAGTTCTAGGTCATTGTTTCTGGACAAATAGTTAACAGGTAGCAGTTGTGTATTAACTCTGCTCAGGCTTGGGTTAAATGTTAAATGCTATGGGGGATGCAGGAGGTTTAAAACATGGTTTCTGACATCATGTAGGAGGGAGAAACACATGGAACAACCAGGTGCAGATGAGACAGTTGTGAAGAGTTAGATGCCAACCTGGGATGTCAGTGCCATAGGAGTTCAGAGGTGAAAAGGGTCACTGGGCCCTGGGATGGTTAAGATGGGCTCCATGGGGCAGCTGCACATTCAGAGAATTTATGTAACATTTGGAGGAGAATTAACAAAACTGGGGATGAGGAGGCAGAAACTCCCTTTCGAAGGAGAGCAAAGTCATATTAAGGTATTAGTGATGTTATGTGTGCCTAAGACATATTTTGATCTGTCTCTGCTAGAAGTTCAGATTAAGACAGACACTGGGCATTTCAGAGGCATTGTATGTTATTAAAGCTACACTAGTCCTTTTAGGGACAAATGGTAATCTGTGCTATGGAGAAATATAAAGCAAGATAGGAGTATAGGATGTGCTGGGATGGAGGTAGTGACCAATTTTAAGTAGGATCATTAGAGATGATCTCATGGAGAAGGTGATTATTGAGGGTATGTAAAGGGAATGAGGGAGCTACTTGAGAGGTGACCCGGAGAAAAAGCATTTGCAGTTAGAGGGATGAGCACGTACAAAGGCCCTGGGGTGGGAGTGTAATGTTTAAAAACAAAGAGGTCTGTGTGGCTGGCACAAAGTGAGTGAGTGGAAGAATGTTAGGAGTTGTGGTCAGAGATGTAATGATTCCAGTGTGTGTGGGCCTCATAAGCCAAGAAGGCCTTTTGGGTTTTTAACTTAGTGACATGAAGAAACATTTCAGGGTTTTGGTGGAGGAATGACATGATCCAACTTATTTTTGAAATTATCATTCCAGAAGCTTTAAAGTAGGGCAGAAAAAGGTTAGGAGTCTGCTGTAATTACTCAGACAAGAGCTAATGGTGACTTTGATTTGGATAGGAATATTGGAGGTGGTGAGAAATGCTCAGATTCTGGTATGTTCTGAAGATAGAGCCAACAAGAGTTGCATGCAGATGGATGAGAAGTTAAGTAAAGGAGAAGAGGAGTTGATGTTGCCACTGAGGTTCTCGGCTAGCATAAATGGACCTTGGTTGGTCCCAGAAAATCTTATTCTAAGTTCTCAGAACCATTGCCTAAGTCTGGCCTGAATGCACCAAACATAAGTCTTCAGAGGATGGGGTGGATCATATTAGAGTTTGTCAGATGTTTCATTGTCCTCCGTCATATTCACTCTTTTGGGGCATTAACTTGGGCTTATTAACATACTCCTACTGTTTAAACATGTATATATCAATTCAACTGTAAAATTAAAGCATTTTTCTGAGGATTTTTAAACCTTTTACAATGCTAAATTCTTTTCTACTGTATTTAGCCTACTAAACCACTTTTCCAATCCTTTCTCATGCCAGGTGCGTTCCATGGTGAGTGACTTTGCTGTTTTCCTCACTATCTTCACAATGGTGATTCTTGATTTTTTGATTGGAGTCCCATCACCAAAGCTTCAAGTTCCCAGTGTGTTCAAGGTAAGCAGGTCTCAGGATGCTTGGTGCCCTCATGTAGTTGCATAGAATCTGGTCCTGATTAGTTTTAAAGGTCTTCCGTATTCCTTACCATTAGTTTTACAGTCCTCTAAATCTGAACCTTGCTCCTCATGCCTTACCTTTCAGAGAAGCAAACCATTCAGGCTTGGCTGAGTTCAAGTCAGAAAAGTTAGAGAACAGAAAACCTAAGTTGTTACATGAATGTATTCTTTAACAAGTAAAAGTATTACTTACTAAGGTAAAAATATCACTTATTATTATTAATGCCCCTTAACTGTTCTTAATATGTTAAGATTTAAAACAATGGAACATGCACATTTATAAAACTACCAGATACTGTGGAAATGTGGGTCCCTCGAATAAGTCTGGTTTATAGCACTTCCATTGAGCATCAGCTACCTTAAGGGCACTGGGAAAGAGGACAGAGCTAAATGCAGGGCTGGGCCCCACCCCTCAGGGCCTTGCCTGCGAGGAGACAGGTTGGGTAAGGGGCCTCATCAAGAGTCTAAAGCTCCTGCCGGAGGAATTGTGACATCTCTTCAACCCTATTTCACTGTTTATTTGTATAATACTCTATAATATTTTCCCAAAACCTATACAAAAAGTGAAGCAAATGATCAATACATGGGGATTCCAAATCTATTTGAGTTTGGGGACATGAGCTGAGTAAACAGAGAAGATGGAAAAGCTGATCACCAGATCTCTGCAGAGTGTAGGGGAGAGAAAACCCAGGTCTATGCAGTGCCTTGAGAAGAGTCATAAACTCAAAGAATGGGAGAGGCTGGGGAGAAGAAGGAAGGAGGGATAAGGCTGTCCCTGACTTGTTAATGCCCCTACACAGTCAGCCTTTGTCTTCCTTTTCTCTCTCTTTCTCCCTAAAGGAGCCCTGGTTAAAAATATCTTTTTCCATATTGCCTGCAAATTAAAAATTTTTATTTTGTTAAATTTGCTGAACTACCACATCTTAGAAACTTACGGATTAAAAAATACCCTCTTTAAAAATATAATACCTCTGAGAATGTCATTCTTACCTTTGTGTGAATGAGCACAATGAGCTTTCTCTCTAATGCCTAGCTGAGGTCATCCCTGCAGGAGGAATGAATTTGTGTAAAAATAAGTAATTTGGGAACATTAAGCAATCCTTGGAAAGGTTCTCTGATGGGTAGAGTTAAGATAGTCAGAGGGCACTGAATTTCTGGGACATCTGGGAAGAAGGCCTCTGGGAGGTAAGAGAGATGAGAAAGGAAAATGGAAGAGCATCAAAGAAAATGTTTCTCATTGGCAGGCCTCACTTTCAGAAAGCAGAGAAGAATTTTCTTCTTTCTTCCCTTCCCTATTATACCACATCACCCCCAGTCTAAAGACTAGTACTATAAATAATGGGTTAATGTCAGTCAGGGTTTAATAAATTTTTATGTTGGTATCAGAATATAACTATCATTTAAAACATTGTTACTAAGGCAACACAGATCCTGTAAACTTACAGAACCTAATCCTTTCACGTTTTTGGGACTTGGTAGTGCTATTGAAGAATTTAAGTCCTAGAGTCACAACCAATATGGAACCAAATACTTTGGATATAATAGTCTTTGAATTGTTCATTGTATTTGGGTTAATTCTGAGCCCATTTGTATTTCTGGCCTCTTATCCTCTATCACTACTTGCCAAACAAGGTGAACTTTTCTTCCCCAGAATACCCTGGAGCATTTGTAGATCTAAGAGAGTTTAGGGATATCATGACCAGTCAAATAAAATGCATGAACCATGTTCCTACAGGGGCACTGTGGAAGGTCCTAGACCAAATATGTCCCCAAGTTCAGCAGTCTTGGGCTCCTCTCTCAACTCGAGTGCATGGGCTCTGTTTGACTGCTCGTGGGAGAAGCCCCTGAACCAATCCAGTCTAAACACATGAGATTCCACACAGCTGGCTCTATGTTGCCTTTATTTGTGATATACATTACGTGGCTTCTGGAGGGGAACAGTGAGGATAGTCAGGTTATTTATGTTTGTCTTTGGAAGTCATTAGATTCTTTTTTGACAACAAATTTTGTTATTAGTTATATTTCACTTGGGCTAATTTTGAGATGAAGTTTCTTTCTCTGTACACAGGTTTGGAGGGTAGAGGAAGGAAATGAAGGATTAATGAATATTCCACAGGAAGTTGATCATTGAGCACTGACTCTTCAAAAGGGATTTGGAACAAGGCCACAGATTTTTCTAAGGACTTGTTGCATTTCATACTTTTTAAAAAAAAAAAGATTTCTCATTCAACAGTAAAAAGAAGTGTGGATATTGTGATTCAGTTTGATCTGTTTTGCCCTGATGGCTATAGGTAACTTAAAATGAAAAATAAAGCCTTGCTTTTTTCCCTTTAGCCAACAAGGGATGACCGAGGGTGGATTATTAGTCCCATTGGCCCCAATCCCTGGTGGACTGTGATAGCTGCAATTATCCCAGCTCTTCTCTGCACTATCTTAATATTCATGGACCAGCAGATTACAGCTGTCATCATTAACAGGAAGGAACACAAGCTAAAGGTAACAAGAAATTCTGACTTGGAAGAGCTAATGCCAGCTTGTTACATTTTTTATTTTGGGGTAAGCTCATTTAGACTAGGAACTATAGAACCTGGATAGAAGCAGTCATGGAAGGAGCTCATAATGGGTTTCCAGGGGTTTCCAGTCCCTCCATTAACAAACAGATTGGTTTGGAGATGAAACTAGAGTAAAGCGTCATGGTGTGGTATGAAATAGAGCCCATACTCCATTACTCTCCTCGGGCCTGTGGGGAGGGTGGGTGGGCAGAGGCCCTCATGGCTCCTGTGGAGCCATATGCTCTGAGGCAGATTTATCTTCCTGAGGTTCAGGTCAGGGCATGGGCTGCTGTTCCCAGGAGGCAGGTATTATCCCACTGGTGTCTGTTACTAATATTTCTGGACTGGACCTTGAGCCCAAGGATCCTAGGGAGGTAGGCTTGGTTCCAGTATATTTATTAGTGATCAGCTTTATGCCTTCATCTCTGCTCTTTCCATACATACTTGGCAATATATGTATTTGGCAAGGATCAGGGGGTGTTTGTAGGAACTCATTTCTCTTCAACTCCTGTAGTGTCTACTATCTAGAATGGTCAAGATATATCTTGGTCTCTGGTTATTCTGCCAAGAAAGGATGAATCTTTTAATGTGTGAGACTCAGGATAAGATCTGGGGCACTTGAATAAAAAGTAGATATCGGCATGTATAGGATAAAGTAAGGTTTCTCTTTTTCTTCTCTTTTCCCTCCAAACCAGGAGGGGCTGGAAGGCTTGCCTGGGGTCCCTGGACCCTTTCCTCCTTACCCCTTCCTGCCTTGGGCCTGAGACTCTTAGCTCACAGTTAAATGCCCCACTATAGCCAGCCCACTGATGGTGACAGAGACTCTTTTTCCCCACAGAAAGGCTGTGGCTACCACCTGGACCTGCTGATGGTGGCCATCATGTTGGGTGTCTGCTCCGTCATGGGCCTGCCGTGGTTTGTGGCTGCCACTGTGCTGTCCATCACACATGTGAACAGCCTCAAACTGGAATCGGAGTGCTCTGCTCCGGGAGAACAGCCCAAGTTCTTGGGCATCCGAGAACAGAGAGTGACAGGCCTCATGATCTTTGTACTGATGGGCTGCTCAGTCTTCATGACGGGTATATTAAAGGTAATTATTCATTCACTTCTAAGGCAAATATTGAGTGCCTGATTTGTGCTAGGAATCATATTGGGTGCTGGGAATACAGTGGTATGCCAAATAGATACACATATAAATACCTGCCCAGAAAGAGCATGTTCTAGTGGGATAAAATGGATAAAATGTAGCTGAGAAAGCTAGTTAAGAAAACAAACATGGTAATTATAGAATGTGTTAAGTGATTAAAGAAAACATAGTGTTCTGTGGTGATACAGAAAATTAAGGGGGTGCTGTTAGTGTGGTCAGAGAAGGCCCCTCTCAGGAGATGGTATTTAGGATGAGATGGACCCAGCCATCCCATGGTTGGTGGGAGATGACATGGGGGGAAGGGAGAAAAGCAGTTTTCAGGCCCTGAGATGGGAAAGAGTGATACATGTTCTAGCAAATATCAGGGCCAGGGGGGCTCAAGGGTGTTGAGTCAAGGCAAGAGCACAGTGAGATGAGATTGAAGCATGGACAGGGGCAGGCAGATCATGCAGGGCCGAGGCTGATGTTTAGACAAGTTTTTTAGGGTTGGGGAAAAGTAGAAGCAGAGAGACCCATGAGGCTATTTCAGGTGGCTTGAATAAAGAAGGTGATAACAGGGACAGATAAAAGGCATGGCCTCTGTGTATCATTGGGTAGAGGAGGGGACAGCAAAAGTAATTCAGAAGGAGCTACCAGAGAGGCAGGAGGGAACCAGTAGGGTTGGTGTCAGGGAAGCCAAGCAAGGGGAATGTTTTAAGAAGGAAGGATTGGTTAGAAACTGTCTGAAAGATAAAGGCTGAACCAAGGCCACTGAATTTGTGACCTGGAGGCCTAAGGTGACGACAAGAGCAGATTCAGTGAAACAATAGGGCAGATTCTGAATTACCGGGAGCTGAAGAATAATTAGGAGGTGAGGAAGTAAAGAGAGTGTGGGCAGACAACTCTGCTAAGAGGTTTTTCTGTGAAGTAGATTAGAAAAATGGGCAGTGGCTAGTGTGAGATGTGGAGTTAAAAGAGGATGTTTGGAAAGATGGAACCTACCTTGAACACGAGAAAAAGTATATATTTTTGTGGGTGTAAGGCCTGCATCTGGGAAAAATGGGACGAAAAGGAAAGTTCTATGGTCATATCACTAGCCCCACCCATTCTGGAACACACTGACTTATTTCCTTTGCCTCCTTTCCCCCTCTTGTTGATGAATCTTCAACTACCCCAGCCTGCACTGCAAATGCTATTTAAAGGTGAGAACTGAGAGGAATGGTAAAGGGTTCTAAACCATCTTTCTCTCCACTCCGTCTTGCCTCCTTTCTTCAGTGCCACTTACCTCCTTCCACTCTCTGTCCCCAGCCCTACCTCCACTCCCACCTCTGGCAGGTGCCATCTGGAGGAGCCCAAAGTTTGCTGTTCCTGCAGGACTGTAACTACAAAAGCATGGTGGCAGACATCGCCTGGCCTCTCTGTAACCGGCTCAGGAGGAGTCTTTTGGGAAGCCATTGAGTAGCTCTGCCGACAATGTCAGCACCAAACTGAGTTGCCTACACACTCTGGGGCTGTGACACCATAAACTCAAATGGGGGTTTTCTTGCTCTTGGAGGAGTTATGTTTGGGGATGTTCTTTAGCCTCAGAACAAAAGCATGCTGAGTTTAATCTTCAGCTGTGAGACTTTCCTTGACTTGCTTTCTACCTGCCTAATTTCCCTACCTCATAGAGTTGCTCTGAGGTAGATAGATTGATAGATATGATGTTGCAGGTGCATGTATATATTCGTGTGATATAATAATGTTGGTATTTCCCCCTATATCATTCCCTCTCTGATAAGATACCTCCCTACTCCTGCCCTCAAGTCTCTGGTTAGTAAAAAAAAGACTTTTTTAGTTCATGTTAAAACACACCAAATCTCTGAGGAAATGATAGTGCGATTCCAAAAGACTTTGTGTGTTACACAAAAGGAGATGATTGTGTGGCACAAAAGGTATCAGTTCTGTGTAAGAGGGGTGTGTGTGTGAGTGTGTGTGTGTGTGTTGCCTGCGTGTCTGCCCATCCCCTGGGGGAGGAAAAGCCAGACAAGGATAGGAAGTGAAGCCTATGGCTTAACCAGGACCAGATTATAGTCACATGTAATTATTTCATTTCAGAACAAAATGATTTTTACCATTCTCAGCTTCTGGGTTGGCTCCTACTTCCAAATCATATAAAGGCAGCAGAAACTAATGCAACATTTTTACAGTTTTGTGACATTGCTTCCTTCTTGGAGATTAAAAATTTTATATAGTCTTTTGATACCGAATTTAATTCCTGGTCTCTCTGCCCTTTGTTTTCAGTTTATCCCGATGCCAGTGCTCTATGGAGTTTTCCTCTACATGGGAGTTTCTTCACTACAGGGAATTCAGGTATTGCACGGGTCAGCCCAAACGATGTCTTCTCACTGTGAGCTCACCAGTCCTGACTAGGGAGGGACAGCTTCCAAAAGGAAGCACAAACCGGGTCTTGGGAAGCCATTTCCTAATCTTGCTGGTTAGACATTTCTTTGGACATCGGGAAAAATATAGTCATGTTGGCATGAGGGCACAGAGACTTATGGGAGGGCTGGCTCGATGTCATGGTTGTAGTCATTTGCTAATTATCAACAATTATTAGGCATGTGTTAAACACTAGGTGCTTTGTCAGATGCTGGTAAACTTAGATCTGAAAGGTTGGTCAAGAACCAAACCAGCTTCCACACGTGGACAGTGCTATTAGTGCCAGCCCAAAGTGCGTGTGAGAGTTTAACTGGGGGTACATTGGTGAAGAAATTGGGGAGTGGTGGAAGCTGCTCCAGGTGAGCCAATTATTACTTCCTGCCATACTCTGCCTTTTCCCATGTAGCAACTCATTCCTCTAAGTCCTTTGAACAGAGAAAATCAGGAGCTTGTCCCTTGGGTGCCCAGGTGATAACTTAGCTGCTGCTGCTTTTCGTGACTGCCTCCTCTTTGGTTTTATGCAATGTCCAGTGGTAATTCTTATACATTGAGTTCTGATGTGACCTTGGGAAGGTCATTTAGTCTGTTTTCCTTTTTATAATATAAGGAAGGTCATATTTTCTATGTTCAGAATATTGTTATGTTTTATTTTATCTTTTTACTATAAATAATCAATGAAAAGCTACGAACTCCTCAAAGAACAAGTAAGAGATTTGGTTTTGATAATAAACAGAAAGATGCCATTGGTTTATTTTGTTTTCAACACTACCTGAGGAAGATCTCTCTCAGGAACCACCATGTGGGATAGGAGAAAGAATTTGAACATAGAATTAGAAAAGATGATTTCAAATTTTGGCTGTCACTTACCAACCTTGGCCAAATTACCTGTTCTCTCTGTCTCAGTTTCCATTTCTGTCCAGTGGCAATGGTATTACCTACCTTTCAGAGCAGGTCATGTAAGTAGCATGCATGGGTCTAACAAGGCTTCTGACCCAGAGAAGACTCCCGAAAACAATGCCAGTTTCCTCCTTTCAGTTCTTTGATCGTCTGAAGCTCTTCGGGATGCCCACAAAGCACCAGCCAGATTTCATCTACCTTCGGCATGTGCCACTGCGCAAAGTGCACCTCTTTACCCTCATCCAGCTGACCTGCCTTGTCCTGCTGTGGGTCATCAAGGCATCTCCAGCTGCCATTGTCTTTCCGATGATGGTGAGTTTTTAAAAAGTATTACTTGCTTTAAAATAAAATAGATATAACATAAAATTTACCATTTTTAAGTGTACAGTTCAGTGGCCTTAAGTATGTTCACATTGTTGTGCAACTGTTACCACAATTCATCTCCAGAACTCTTTCATGTAATGTGTACATGCAACACTACACATCAAATATAGCCCCCTCCTCCCTCCCACTAGCTTATGGCAACCACCATTCTACTTTTTGTCTCTATGAATTTGACTACTCTTGTTATCTCATATAAGCAGTCATATAGTACTTGTCCTTTTGTGTCTGGCTTATTTCATAGCATAATGTCTTCAAAGTTCATCTAAGTTGTAGCATGTGTCAGAATTTTCATTCTTTTTAAAGGATGAATAATGTTCCACTGTGTGCGTATTATATATACATATATATATATATATACATACATACCACATTCTGTTCTGTTCATTTGTCAATAGGTGCTTGGATTTTTTCACCTTTTGGCTATTGTAAATACTACTGCTATAAACATGGATTGCACAAATATTTGAGTTCCAGATTTCAGGCCTTTTGGGTATATACTCAGGAGTAGGATTGCTGTATCTTATGGTTGAAGTATTTTTAATTTTTTGAGGGACCACCATACTGTTTTTTATAGTGGCAGCACCATTTTACAATCCTTTCAGCAGTGTACAAGGTTCCAATTTCTCCACATCTTTGCCAACACATATTTTCTTGTTTTTGTTTTGTTTTGTTTTGTTTTTGGGTAATAGTCATCCTAATGCGTGTGAACAGGTATCTCATTGGGGTTTGATTTACATTTCCCTTATGACTGTGAGCACCTTTTCATACGTTCATGGATATTTGTATACATCTTCTTTGGAGAAATGTCTGTTCAAGTCCTTTGCCCATTAAAAAATTTTTTTGTTGTTGAGTTTTAGTAGTACATTCTAGATATTAATCCCTTATTGATAGTAAGTTTTTGTGGGGTTTTTTTGGTTCATCTTTGCAGGAGCAGCATTACTATTGGGATCTTGAAATATGAATACTTGTGTGTAGCAGTTTGCCATGCTTATTTTCAAGGCTACCTTTCCTTTTCTCTCTCTCTCTCTCTTTGTGAATCTGACATGGAGAGGATTCTTCATGTTTGCAATAATTTTCATATTACTTCACAGTAATGTAGTTCCAACTCAGAATTGATTGTAATCAGAAGTGTCTAAAGTGGTGGAAATGCAGTTTCAAGCCACAAAGAGAGGGGAAGAAGTTGGTCTAGCACTGATAAGTGTCTGGACAACCTTACCTCCTTTCTAACTGAAGCCGGAGCTTTGGAAAGGTGACTAGGGAAGCTGAACTGTGTGAGGTGCAATAGGTGGCAGGCTGCTTCCTTCAACTAGGGTGATGATGAGATTCTTACCACCTGACCACCTCACTGTCTCATATTCTGCTCTTGATGCCTTCCTCTCTTTCTCACTCTGTGTCGTAAGGGTGCTGAGGATTCAGTGGGCTGCTGGAAAGAAAAGGCAGTGAGGGTAATGTTTTGTACTTGTTTAGGTACTTTTGAACTCTCTCTTCCTGGGAGAATATTCAAGGGTGAGGAAACTGGAGCAGGAGTCTTTTTCCTTCATCCCCTGGATATGTACCTTCCTGATGGTCTCTCAGTTTTGTCAGAACACATATAGAGCTCTGCATTTGGGTGTTATGTTCAAGGGTTGAGTGTTTGGTTAAAGAAACAGAAAATTCCTGATAACTCCTGGAAGGGATACTATCAATTTTGGATTTATTGGGAAAATAGTCATTGAAAATAGGGAGAAATGTGGTTGAATTTAATAAGCCTGATTTACTTTGTTTCAGTTTTAGCTGGTGAGCACCAGTCAATCCAGGTAGGTTATTCTGAGTTATTATTGGTAAAATGACCTTTATGGCAAAAAAGTGGAACAGAAGTTGAGACACCCTGACCTGTTTCTATTGAGGAAATTAGCTGTCAGATATTAGGCCAGTCACTTTCTCTCCCTGGGCCTCAGTTTCTCACTTATAAATGAGTGTTAGGCCAGGTAGGACTTTGCAGTGAAATGTATAGACAAAAGATTGGAGGGAATCCAGATGGTCCTTCAAGATCCCCTCACCCCACGGTGAGGCCTGCTTGGGCTGGGCATGTCTGGCTCCAACACAGCTGTGCTCCGTGCAGAGGCTCTCCACCACATCGGCCCGGTAGCCTACCCTGCTGGCCCCAAGCAGGAACGCAGCTCTTAGGGACATCTGCACAGGAAAGGCTTCTCTTTTCAATGAGACAACTACATTGGTTGATTTCCAAGTTGTAGGGTTGTTATGATGATAGTTAAATAAAATATTTATGACTAATAACATTTCATTGTATGTATGTTACCTTTTCTTTTTACATTCATGTTTTGGTGAATTGTATAGAAAACACTTAGTATGTGGTACAAAGAGGGTACTCAGTGAAAAGCAGCTATTATGATTATTATGAGTTTGCTTGAAATGTCCTAGTCGGGTATGGAAATAAGACTTTGCTTTTAACTCCAAAAAGGAGATGAGCCCCTTTAATTCCCTTTCTTTATTTTTCTTCAGGTTTTGGCCTTGGTCTTTGTCAGGAAAGTCATGGATCTCTGTTTCTCTAAGCGAGAGCTGAGCTGGTTAGATGATCTCATGCCTGAAAGCAAAAAGAAGAAGTTGGATGATGCCAAAAAGAAGGCCAAGGAGGCAGAGGTCATCTGGTTCTTACATCATCTGTACACTTAGGGCAGCCTCAAATCACGGAGCATGGGAAGGGCCAGTGAAACGCCAGCATGTCTGGACTCCCAAAGGTTCTACTTAGGAGCTGGGAAGAATATTCCAAAGATGTTTTCAGTGAGAATAGATTAAGGATTCTTATCCCTGCCTGTCCTTCATATTAAGACCAGTTGTTTTTTCCTTTGTTTGTCTACAGTTTACTCACCAGGTTCACACTTAGAATATGAACATAGAATCTGCTCTAATTATCAGATCTAATGGTTCATCATCTCCCAAAAGGTCTAATTTGTCAAGTGTGCAAAGCCTATTGTTTTCTGAAAGTATTTGTTATGTCCCTAATTGCAGATGGTGTTGTGGTTGGCACCATGCAAAGACGCCTTGCATAGGACTTTTCTGTCCCCACTCATTTCCCTCAGCACTTGGCATCTGCCATCCACATAATGGACCCTCAGTCAATGGCCTAACTGTGCAAAGAATGGATGTGTAGCAAAATGAAAATACCAGACCAAGAAATGAATGAGCCAGAAAATGTTTCCAAATATAGTTAGTGTCTGAAATAGTGTCCTTTGAAATATATTTTAAAAGACATTTCTTCTAATATCTTGAGTTTTAAAGATTTTTTTGCTTTATTGAGATGTAATTGACATATAACATTATGTAAATTTAAGGTATATAACAAATATATATATATATATAGCACCAAATGATTACCACAATAGGGTTACTTAACATGTCTATCACCTAACACAGTCACAGTGTTTGTGTGTGTGCGTGTGCTTGTGTGTTGAGAGCTTTTAAAATCTATCTTCTTAGCAACTTTGAAATATGCTATACAGTCTTCTTAACTATAGTCACCATGCTGTACATTACATCCCCAGAACTTTCTCATCTTAAACTGAAAGTTTGTACCCTTCGACCACTTTCACTCATTTCCTACAACCTTGGCAACCACCAATCTGTTCTCTGTTTCTATGACTTCAGTTTTTCAGATTCCACATATAAGTAAGATCATACAATATTTGTCTTTCTCTGACTATTTCACTTAGCATAATACCCTCAAGTTTCATTCATAGAAAAAGCCAGGATTTCCTTCTTTTTAATGCCTGAATAATATTTCATTGTATATATATATATATTAGCTTTTCCTTATCCATTCATCTGTTAATGGACCCTGAGGTTGTCCCCTGTATTGGCTGTTGTGAATTATGGTGCAGTGAGCATGAGGGTACATATCTCTCTTTGAGATACTGATTTCATTTCCTTTGAATGTATAGTCAGAAGTGGCATTGCTGGGTCATATGGTAGTTCTGTTTTTAATTTTTGAGGAACCTCTTACTCTTTTCCATTGTAGCTGCACCAGTCTACATTCCCACTAACAGTGCACCAGGGTTCCCTTTTGTCCACATCCTCACCAGCACTTATCTCTTGTCTTTTTGATAATAGCCATCCTAACAGGTGTGAGGTGATATCTCTTTGTGGTTTTGATCTGCATTTCCTTGATGATTAGTGATGTTAAGCACCATTTCATGTATCTGTTGGCCATTTTCAGGTTTTCTTTGGAAAAATGTCTACTCAAGTCTTTGCCTATTTTAAAATTTGATTATTTGGGTTTTTTTTTTTTACTATTAAGATATATGTGTTCCTTATATATTTTGGATATTGACTCCTTATCAGATATGTGCTTTGCAAGTATTTTCTCCCATTCTGTAGATTGCCTTTTCATTTTGTTGATCATTCCTTTGCTGTGCAGAAGCTTTTTAGTTTGATGTAGCCCCACTTACTTATTTTTGCTTTTGTTGCTTGTGCTTTTGGTGTCATATCCACAAAATCATTGCCACGAACAATGCCAAAGTGCTTTTCTCCTGTATTTTCTTCTAGGAATTTTACTGTTTCAGGTCTTACGTGTGAGTCTTTAATTCATTTGGAGTTAATTTTTGTGAGTGGTGTAAATTAGAAATCCAGTTTCATTCTTTTACAAGTGAATATCCAGTTTTCCCAACTACACTTATTGAAGAGACTATCCTTTCTCCATTGAGTATTCTTGGCTCCCTTGTCAAATATTAGTCAATTGTATGTGCATGGGTTTATTTCTGGGCTTCAATTTTGTTCCATTGGTCTATGTGTCTGTTTTGAATTATTAAGTAAGCTTTAACAATTATAAGCCCATATATATATATATATATAAAATAATATATATAAAATTATAGGTAGTGATATGTTTTAATAAAATAAAGGGGTGAGGGAGTTACTTTATATAGGGTGATCAGAGATGACTCCTCTAAAGTGACATCTCAACAGAAACCTGAGTAAAATGAGGGACAAGTCATGAGAACTAGAAGTATGAACATTCCAGGCCAGGGGAATCGCACATGCAAAGGTCTTGAAGCAGAAATTATCTTGAGGGACATCAGGAAAGCCAGTGAGACTGGAAGGGGGAAAGAGGGAGCCAGGAGATCAGTTAGAGTCTGTGACAGTACAGGCAAGAGGTGTGTTGGCTTAGTCTAAGGCATAGGTGGTGAGAGTGGCTGGGTCAGGGAACTTATTTTGAAGATAGGAGCCAACAGGTTTTGTTAATGTATAGTGAACATGGATGAAAAAGGAATCAAGGATGAGACTTAGATTTTTGGAGTAAACAATTGAATGAATGGTTGTGCTGTTTGTTAAGATGGGGAAGACCTAGGAAAAGCAAGTTTGGAAGGAAAAAACGGGGATCTCTTTTGGATATTAAGTGGCTGGTAAACATACTCCTTATTTTCAAAAAATTCTGACATAAATTTGCTAATATATGTTTTACTTTATAAAATTATTTTAAAAGCTAAATGAAATGAGAAAAAGAAATTGAGACATCACCACCCCAAAATTTCATATCAGCATCCAACATCTATGTTCATTTCTTTCTGTTCTCTTTAAATCCTTAACATAATTTTCACATAACTGTAATAATTGTATATTTGTGTGTATGTGTGTGTGGTCTGATATTTCCCTTCAACTTGATTTCATAAGCACTCTCATGTTTATATATGTCTAAGTAATAAAGAATCATTTAATGGCTGCATATCAATTATGCATCTCTTTAAAATTATTAATTTATTTAAACATTAAATTATAATTAAAACATTAATGAACATTCTTAATGTATTTCATTAAACGCTCAAAAATTTAGTTTAAACATTCTTTGTTAAAATTTGTGGTTGTTTTAGGTTTTATATTAATTATAGTACTGTAAACATCTTTGTACATACTTTTTTCTAGATAATTATTTCATTTAAATGAATGGGATTATTTTTTAAGAAAATATTTTATGCAAGATTTCAAACATATAAAAATGTAGAAAGAATAGTCAAATTCATATTTCCCCAATTGCCTTATTATTATTTTTAACAGTCTGTTTGAATTAGGATCCAGATAAGGTCCATATATTGCAATTGGTTGATATGTTTCTCAAATCTGTTACATTTTTTTCTTTTTGTTGAAGAAACTGGGTCTTTGACCATTTAGATTTTACTTTAGTGTCATTTAACATGTTCTTCTGTCTCCTGTATTTCCAGTAAACTGGTTGTTGGATCTAGAAGCTTACTCAGATTCAAGTTACTTTTTTAAAAAAAATTCTGTTCCATAGGTACAAGTATATGGATGTCTCTCTTTTTGTGATAAGTTAAATCTGTGAGAGAACACAGCTACACTCTTGTAATAAATGCAAGAGAAAATCAGGTAGAAATTGTGATGATGGAAAAATGGGCTGGTGTAGACCTATGGTTTTAGTTGGTCCAATGTATAACATCTTCTTTTCTTCCAGGAGGCTGAGAAAATGTTAGACATCGGGGGAGACAAGTTCCCCTTAGAGAGCAGGAAGTTACTAAGTAGTCCTGGAAAGAACAACAGCTTCAGGTAAAACTCCCAAAACACCAAGGAGTTTACTGTGTTGGTTATTCTGTAAACGTTATGACTTTGTGGTGGTGGTGGTGTCACAAAGGCCATTGCTGGTTTAAAGAGCTAACATTCAGCCTCCCAGTTCCAACCTTTTTCCAAAGATGAAAACACCTTTTCCTTTCGTGGTTTACTAAGTACCTGCCATGCATCAGGCACTATACCAGGTGCTGGGAATCAGGTAAGGGAGCCCGTGTACTGAATGCCTTCTCCATGCCAAGGCTGTGCTAGAAGGTTTACTTATGTGCTCTCATTTAATCTGTACAACAACTCTCTGACATAAGCCTCGTTATCCACATTTGTACAGTGAGGAAACAGGCTTGTAGGGTTTTAGGTAGTTTGCCAAAGGTCACAGTGCTCTAAGTAAAAAGTTTTAATTCTAACCCTAGTCTTTGTACTCCTCAAACCAGTGCTCCTGCTGCCTTTCTCTCCCACCTTCCAAAGATGAATACGATATGGTCTTTATTTCCAGAGAGTTCTCAGCCTGGTGGCCATGAATTCTCACATGTAGGCAACTCTTTGGGGATGGGCAGAGACAGCCCTTCCAGCTTGGCTGCTGGCATCTACAGCCCTAGGAGCCGAGGGGGAACTGAACTAGGATCCCCAAAATTCCTTAATTCGGCCAATGATCTTAGCACCTTTATCAAACTGATTGCTCAGTAAGGTCATAGCAAACTAAATTGGTCCATTTGTGGTTTTGTTCCTGGAATTTAGTTTCCACTGTAGAAAGGTACATACCAGCTGAAAGAAGCCCAGAGGTTGAGAGGGGACAGACAAGGAAGAGACAGGGGATCTGGGTCATTTAGATCCTGGATAGTTTATTGCTGAATCATTGAATTGCTTATGGTTCATACTGAGGGGGAAATGAGGAAAGTCTTTTATTTATTTATTTTTGACAAATGTAGTATATATATTTAAGACATACAGTGTGATGTTTTGATACATGTGTCCACTGTGAAATGGCTACTACAATCAAACGAATAACACATTGATCACCTCCTATAGTTACCATTCTTTTTTTTAATTAAGGTATCATTGATATACACTCTTATGAAGGTTTCACAAGAAAAGCAATATGGTTATTACATTCACCCTTATTATTGAGTCCCTCCCCATACCCCATTGCAGTCACTGTCCATCAGTGTAGTAAGATGCCACAGAGTCCCTATTTGTCTTCTCTGAGCTACACTGTCTTCCCCATGACCCCACATACACCATGTGCACCAATCATGATATTCCACAATCCCCTTCTCCCTCCCTTCCCACCTGCCCTCCCACACCCCTTCCCTTTGGTAACCACTAGTCCCTTCTTGGAGTCTGTGAGTCTGCTGCTGTTTTGTTCCTTCAGTTTAGCTTCACTGTTATACTCCATAAATGAGGAAAATCATTTGGTATTTGTCTTTCTCTACCTGACTTAATTCACTGAGCATAATACCGTCTAGCTCCATCCATGTTGTTGCAAATGGTAGGATTTGTTTCTTTCTTTTGGGTGAATATATTCCAGTGTGTATATGTACATCTTCTTTATCCATTCATCTACTGATGGACACTTAGGTTGCTTCCATATCTTGGCTATTGTAAATAATGCTGCGATAAACATAGAGGTACATATGTCTTTTTGAATCTGAGAAGTAGTATTCTTTGGGTAAATTCCTAGGAGTGGGATTCCCGGGTCAAATGGTATTTCTAGTTTTAGTTTTTTGAGGAACCTCCATATTGCTTCCCACAATGGTTGAACTAGCTTACATTCCCACCAGCATTGTAGCAGGGTTCCCCTTTCTCCGCAACCTCACCAGCATTTGTTGTTCCTAGTCTTTTCGATGGTGGCCATCCTAACTGGCATGAGGTGATATCTCATTGTGGTTTTAATTTGCATTTCTCTGATAATTAGCGATGTGGAGCATCTTTTCATGTGCCTGTTGGCCATCTGAATTTCTTCTTTGGAGAAGTGTGTGTTCATATACTCTGCCCATTTTTTTATCAGGTAATTTGCTTTTTGGGTGTTGAGGCATGTGAGTTCTTTATATATTTTGGGTGTTTAGTTACCATTCTTTTTATTTTTTGTGGTGAGAACACTTGAGATCTACTTAGCAGATTTCAAGTGTACAGTATCACTACCTATGGTCAGCATGCTGTACACAGACTTTCAGAGCTTATTCATCTTATAACTGAAAGTTTATACCCTTTGATCAAGATCTTCCCTTTCCCGCAGCCCCAGCCTCTGGTAACCAATCACCATTTTACTGTCTTTTACTTTGAGTTTAACTTCTTTTTTAAGTGATCCCAAAGAAATGAAATCTTTGGACCTCAATAAACTTCCTACAAGTTGTTCTGGAATTAGCCATAGACTGAATTCTCTGGTGGCAATGTAGGAACAACTGTTCCGTCTCTCCCAGGATGCTGCCTCCTCTCTTGGCCTTTTAAAAGGAGACAGGCTGGCTTGTAGAAATCTTTATTGCACTCTGACGTTCTAGGAGAACAAGGCCTGGATTCAAGGCCTTGATTCTTCATGTACTGATGTTTAACCTTGTGTGGTCACTTAGCTTTGGTTTCTACCTTCAAAATGAAGATATTAATAATTTCTGTTGTGGTAATTGAGATAATATATTGTAAATTACAAATGTGGCATTTGGCCACATAAAGGAAAAAATGAATGAAGAGTGCTTAGCACCAGGCCTGGCACACAGTGAGCCCCCAGTAAGTGATAATCCCTGATGCTACACTGATAGCATCACAGCACTGCCCTCAGCATCCCGAGGGCCACCCAGAGGAATGCAGAATTGTGGGGCCAGGGCTGGCTGCCACTGGGCACAGCAGCCCCGCCCTCAGCACTTCCTCCAGGGCCACTGTGCCTCTCTACATCCCCACCATTTGGCTCCTAGTGCTCCTGGGGCCTGGTAGCTGGGTGACTTCAGACCTAATCTCTGCCCTTCTGGTGGGGTGGGATCACTAGAGACTGAGATATGTATCTTATTTGTATGTCAACATTTACTGTTCTAAGCATTGATTTCAGATGTGACCCCTCTGAGATTAATATTTCTGATGAGATGCCTAAAACCACGGTCTGGAAAGCTCTCAGTATGAATTCTGGAAATACAAAGGAAAAGAGGTAATGAGAACTGTAATTGCTGATTTTTATTTATTTCTAGCTTTTACAAATAGCAATCATGTTCAAAATACAATGTATTTTAGTTGTAAAATTGAATTTGTTTAATAAATATCACCTCCAGGACTGCTGCTAACTACACAAGAAAGCCATCAGCTTAAGAAAAGTGAAAGTGTTTTCTAACTATTTGTACAGATATGCTATTTTCAGCTGTCCATGTATGTACACAGGCCCAAAGTCTGCATGGAATTATTTTGGGATGTAAATTTGTTTTACCTATTTTGTCACCTTAATCCCCTTTCTAGTTCCTATTTCAAGATCTATAGAGCTTCTCTGGTTATTGTAACCACACAAACTATAAAGTTGCTAAAATATTCAGAGAGTGTTGATAGATTGATACAGACTTTAACTTGTCTAACTTGTTCCTTAATGAGAATTATTGCTAAGTAAAGGTTTTGAAATATTATATTGTAACTATTTTCTTATTCTGGAAACTAAATTGTGTGTATCATTTGCCAAGAGCATAGATCAACTTAAACTATATTAATGAAGAAAACAGAAGGACTTGAGGCATCTTTGCCTGCACTGGGTAGGCTGTGAACCCAAATTACTTGAATCATTCAGTCTAAACACCATTTTAGTTTAAGAAGTCAGATAACAGAAGGAAAAATCTTAGGTCTTATTAAAGTTGACTTTTCTAGTTAAAGGAAAAAAACAAAACAAAGAACCAGTAGGCCAGAAATTAGGAGACCTGGTCTAGCTATTAATTCCATGTATAACTTGGCAAGCCACTGTGTCTGGCACTCAGTTCACTCAGCAGTAAAATGGGGATAATAATGACTAACTGCTTTAATCGTGAGACTGCTCTGAGGAGAAGCTGAAGTCCTTTGAAAAGTAACAACCACCAGTGGGTGGTAGTGGTGGATTATTTCTTCATCGAATGGGTTAAAATAAATCTGTGCTGAATGTGAGTGAAATATAGAATCTTGTTTCCTTCAGAGGAAAATCCAGGCAGCTGTCGAAAAGTATAATGTGCATAGTTATTTTTAGTTGAGAACTAGTCTACTTGTAAGTGAACTTAAAATATAGGCAGATCCAAATTGTGGTGACATCTTCAAAGTATTGTGTTTAAAGCAGGAATGAATCATGTGTTCCCTTTTTGTCTAATTGTAACACTTTTATTCAGTCTCTTCAACTAAGTCTGCTGGGATGGAAGATTTGGGCCATGTGGTGCCCCAGGGAAGTTCTGGTTACAGAGGAGATGGTGAGTCTCTCAGAGAAGAAGCACAGCCAAGTCCGGCCCCGTCCTTGGTCATGTCAAAGCCATGGCAAAGAATTCAGTTACTCGTGGTGTGCACTGGAAGGCATCCAGCTATTGCCATCCCAGCAGCCAGTCACCAGTTGTGACTGTGGAAGCAGAGACTGCCTCTTGTTGGTACTTTGCTTCTCTTTCTCTTCAGAACGGCCACCATTGAAGACCCAGCTTCCCATTTTCCAGATACATTCCCTGAATCTCTCTGCTGGCCTGCCGAGCCATATGGATCCATTCTGCCGCTGAGGATTCCTTCAATGAGGTCCCTCTTCCTAAAGGATGGGGTTGGGGAGTAGGAGGAGAGCAGAGAGAGAAAGGAAGGCTCTCCAGTCCCAAGATAACTGTGGGCTCCTAGGGAGCCCTGGGCCTTGGTTTGCTTGCCTACTCTGGGGTGTGCCGGTCAGACCCAGAGCCTGCCAGGAGGGTCTGCTCCTAGGATGTCAGCCATCACTGGCACTGTCCAGCACCGCAGCCCCAAGATGCCCCTGAGCCAGCAGGTTTTCATCACTCCCTAGCCACCGTCTGCCTAAGTCAGTGAGAACCATGGATAAGGAAAGGGCCAAGAGGGACATCAGTTGTTCAGCTTAGGCAGGAAAAGCCCCAGGGGGAAAATCAGTCATGGTAAGTGAGGATAAGCAGCTTCTCTTGGTTTCACTGAGGACAGAGTAATAGAATGAGCTTAACTTGCTACTGAAGGAATCCATTTAGAGAACCAGAAAGAACTTCCTAGCGTGAAGATTTGTTGTAATGTCTTCTTTCTAGATATCTGGGAAAGATTTGATAATAGTGTTTGTGAGTAGAAAGGGAAATAAGGGTTTTATTGGCCATATTGTGGAAGCGTCCATGTCTTGCTGCTGTCTCTTGAGGACACATTCTGATTCCGTAACTGGAGAGATCCAAATGCTTACGAATGTCTCCTTGGCTGCCTTAGTAGCGAATCATTGTCGATTCATTGGACCAAAACCACCTTCAGCCCTGCGGTTTCTTCCTCATAGATTTCTTTTGGTTGACAAATGTCTTAGTTCTCAGATGTAAAAAGCCACATTGGGAAGTGAACATTAAATTGTGAGATTAATTTTGGTATTAGTTTAAAACTATATTTATAGTTTTTCTCTTCTCTTCTCTGTTGAAATGAATATGAAGGGTATGAGCTCCAGTGTATATTAGCCTTCCCTTCCTTTGTGCACAGAATGTGACCAGCAAGCACTTTGGTACCCAGGGAATTTGATCATACTGGTTTTCCATCCTGGAAAATCTTTGTATAGTGGGACATCCCCCAGTATGCTCTCCTACATAGGTGAAGAGCTGGCTACTTAACTTTATTGAATTTTACATTCCTTAGACTCTTAAAATATATTAGTATATTCTAGTCTTACTCTATGGACTTTTGATATTGAAGGAATCTTGCATTTCTTTAATATTTCTCTATCTCTTAGAGCCACAGTTATTTTAATACATAGATCATTTTCAAAATATTAAACAATTGGCACAAGATGGACACCAGCCTCTCAGAACAGATGCCTGCTGTAAACAAGCAGTGTGTATGGTCATACCGATGCCTATTGGCTGAACATCCCACTGCTTTCAAATATTAAAATGATATCCCTTTGAAATGTAGGTATTATTTCTGGTTTGTCTGATTTCTACTCACAAAGCTATTATAGTGACAGCCTTGGCTTCCTTTTTATATGGTACAGACAGGAACAGACATGCTTCTTTAAACTACATGAGCATTAAAACCTTTGTGAGCCAAAGCTTCACATTTTATCATTTTAGGATAAATATAATAGTTGTACCCATTTACCTGCCTACTTTAGAAAAACCAGGAGGCAACTTGCCACTGGGAAAAGCTTACTTGCTGACTTCCCCTGTCTCTCTCCGGCTGCTTTCTCCAGCTTGCCTCCTTTGTCATCCTCTGTTCCCTGAGAACCTCTCCCTTTTCTTCCTCCCTCTTGCCCCTCTGTGTAAGGAAGTTGGTGACTGCCTTGCCTGTTCCCTAGCCTCAGCGTGGCTGTAAGGAATGTGACCGGGAAAAGTCCCTCTCCCAGTACACTGATGTCTTGTGATGCCTTGTGTACGTTGGCTTCCGGAGAGCAGGGAACCTGTCTGTGTTAATTCTGTGCAGTGCCATTAAAGGATCACGTGTGCACCTTTGAGCCCTTCCCAAGCCAGACCCTCCCAGGTTAGTGCCCCTTAGGAATGCTGGCTCCTTTGAAAGCCTGTACCAATCATTTTAGGCCACTGGATTTTTCTCAAACAATAGCCAGCCTCATTTCTGCTACATCTCAGTGGTGGAACCATTCCCTACTCTTACTCTCTCCTCTTTCCCAACCTCCACCGCTCACTCACCCGCAGTCCTGAATGCCTCCTAACTCAGGTCTGTGGCTGGTGAGGTGGTGGCAGAATCAAGCTGGGCAATGTTTGGGGTAAGAAACTGGGAGCAGAGGTAAAGCAGCAGCAGTGCATGTGTATGTGTGCATGTGTGTTTATCGATGAATGAGAGTGTATCCATAACACTGCACTGCTGCTATTAGACAGCCCAGCGTGCCTAAGCTTTGAGGAAATAAAATAATATGATCATTCTCCCATTTATATGTTCCTGTCTCAGACTTCTCTGATAGAATAGCTTGAGGACAAATACAGGCAGATTAATCTGTAGAAAAGGGTTTTTAAGCTCAATATTAAGAAGAAACTGACTTAGAGGTGGAAAACAAGGCACATAGTCAGGTGGCTTCTGTGCCCAGGTTTGCTTGAGCCAGAAAAGTGGTCCATCTCTTAGGACAAGGGGAGATTTTAGGAGTAGTTTGAGTGTTGGCAGGCCAGTGCTCCAAATGGGCTAGTAGTCTAGAGGTAGGAAGGGAGGGAGGCCAGGGATTTAAGAAAGTGATGGTGAGCAGAGTCTTGGTTCTGAGCGGAAGAACTGGCCTTGCTAAGTGGGTGGGTTACTTCCTGGCTCATGACTTTTAGGGAAGAGTTGGTCTAGAGGAAAGGTGAGGACCAGCAGAAATATGCTGTGAAATTCCCAAATATGTTTGGTTGCATAAAATGCAGGCTAGCTCTTTGTGGTTATATGTGGTTTCAAAGTTCTGATGATTGGATTATCAGAAGGTCTTTACCACATATAGCTCCTATCCCCATCTCCTTATTCATATCAGTTTGCCTTTGGATAGTGGGGTAGTGAAAACCTTGTATTTCCCAATGACAGTGTGAATAGTTGCTAATTCTCTTCATCTGGGATGTGACTTTTACATTAATCATAGATGTTTGATAAAAATCTGGTAAGTGCTAAATCTCAGGCGTGGTTGACATCTCAGGCTCTGGCAACTGTGGCTGATATCTCTGGTTGTAGAAATCTGTGGTTTCTGGTCATCTAAAAAAGACAGTTCCCAGCTTTACTTTATTTTCTACCTACTCAACTCTCCAGACTTCCCTCTTATTAGAGGAGTCAGCAAGTCTCCCTGCATCTTGTCTATCGATTTCAATGTTCATGTTCTGAGTCTCCACATTTTCTTGAAAGCATAGGGGAATGCTTGACCGCAGGGCCCCTGGCTTTCCTTTGAACTAGCACCAGAAATGCTATCTAGTATGTTCTCTCTACTACTTATCAGCTTCCCTAAATTTCTTCTTTTGCAAGAGAGTTAGCCCCTCCTCTTAGGACTTTGAAGCAGTCTCTGCTAGTTTGCGTCTGCATTTTCCTCGGAATTCTCAGGTTCCCAACCCACCTCCCAGCAGGGCATTCAGGTACCCTGCACTGAATGATCTCAGCCATCTTGACTTTCTTTTGGCTGTAGTTGTCGGGCCTCCCATAGGAAGAAATCCTTCCCGAGCCCTGGCTGGCCAAAGGAGACATCATATAACTTCCATTCCCTTTTACTGACTCAGCTTCTTCAAGTACCCTTTCCGCTTTTTTCTCAGTCTTTCAAATTCTTGCAGGGAAGAAGTTCTTGGTCAGAAGTCCAAAAAATCACCACCAGTTGGGGGTGGTTAGGGACATGAGGAGTTTGGACAGGTCTAGGGTTTCCTCAAAAGGCGACTTTATGGTTATTTTCCTTATGTAGTGTAAAGGACTAAGGATTCTCAAGCCCCAGGCTCATCCATATTTCACTGTACACTGAAAAAGACATTCTAGAACCAAACAGAAGCGGTTTTTCTACCAAATAAATCTATTCTTTATGAATCTTGATGCCCTTGTCTCTTATATTAACTATAGAGAATGGGCAGTTGACTTCATTAACATTTCTTTACCAGAAAGGAGGCTACTTTTCATAACCAAAAGAGGTGTGAAGTAACTGTATTACCGTTTGAAACATGAAAAGAGGACAGGAGTGTTATATGAATCTTTTCAATGGGAAGACTCAGAAAGTGGAATGATTCATCCATAAGCATAATTCTTCTAGGAGATTCTGTGCTCAACGGGAATGGGATGGTTTCTGATCCTTTTGAAAAAAAAGGACTAGAATTTTTCTTAAACCTAACCCACTTTCAGCATTGGAGAATACAGAACCTTTTCTTCTTGCTGGTGGCATTAATATCTCCTGAGACAGAGAGAAACCTCCCACGGCCCTTTACTGAGCCTATCAGGAGCCTGCAGAGGCTTGCTTCTCTTAGCAGGTTTGCAGTTGACTCTTGACATGCAGGTTTTTCACACGTGCAATAATGTTGGAAACAGAATACCCAACTGAATGTGCAATTACTCCTTTCGCAAAAGAGGCCAAAATCCTCCTCCCCCCTCCTTTCTCCCATATTCACTCCTCCAAGATGATGAGCCTCCCTCCTGTTTATCTGTGTCTGTCTGTCTGTCTGACTGGTTCGATATTGCTGCCCTCCCAAGCTAATGGTGTCAGATGGAGAGCAAAGCAATCCTCCATGGAAGGGGACCACTTGAGGTGCTGGTACATTTCCCTTGTTTTCTATGTTCTTCTTTCTAGTAGGTCTCATGTAGAGATAGAGATATTTTTGTTCTGGAGATTCCAAAGTATATATTTTTAGTGTAGGAAATGTACCCTCTCTACACTCCATGGTGTAAATAGAACCGAGAACAAACTGTCATTGTGCTAATCCCATAGCAATCTGCAGTAGGACTAGGACCCATTCTTTCTAGTAGGTCTCATGTAGAGATAGAGATATTTTTGTTCTGGAGATTCCAAAGTATATATTTTTAGTGTAGGAAATGTACCCTCTCTACACTCCATGGTGTAAATAGAACCGAGAACAAACTGTCATTGTGCTAATCCCATAGCAATCTGCAGTAGGACTAGGACCCCTCTCCCTCACCACCAGGTCCCACGGTCTGTGTCTGTGAGCCAGGGGAGGTGGCTGTACCACCTCTGCCCACCCAGACCTTCCTGTGCTCGATGAGTGAATAATAAAGCCTGTGTAAACCATTCATACCTGTGGTGTTCTTTGAGCCCGCACCAAGGGGCGAGTCAGTGCTGAGTGCTTTGGGAACCTGGAAAGAAGGGTTAGGAAGGGGAATGAGAGGAGGGCATGCTGTCTGCTGAGCATGTACGCCTCCTTGGGACTGAGCATGAACAGTCAGTCCTTGGGGCAGAGCCATGGAAGGCAGCTAGAAAAGCCATTTCTTTAGGGACCACTTAGACTTATGTTTGGGTAGGGAGCCAGGACAGCATGAAAAGAAAGCCCATTTTGGAGGTACAGCCAGGCTGATGCAAGCAATTGCCATATTTAAGGACTCTCCACTGCCTAGAAATCCAGGTCTTAAAAATCTGCTGTCACTCAGAGGGTTTTTTGTTGTTTTGGGGGGAGAAGGCTGCTCTAGTCTTTTACTCTCAAATACAACTGTTGGAGGGTTGGAGCAAAGGGGAAGAGGGAAGCAATGGAGTAAGGGGTAGAGAAACCAGGGAGGGGGTGAAAGGCAAGAGTTGAGGGAGAGCCAGGCAGCAAGCTTTAGGGTGTGACTAGAAAGGCATAAACTGAGAGCATCCTGAACATACAGCACAGTGTGAATATTAAGGAGAACAAGGCAAAGTGGGCTGGAGACATAGAACTCCCTAGCTCTGAGGCCTTTTGCCATCTTTTGGCTATTTTTTAAACATCCCAGCAGTAATCCTGTTATGTCACTTTGTTTCAGAGACCTAAGTTGCACTGAGTAATGGGTGGTGTATGGGAAGGCTGCTCATGCAGGGAATGGAGTCAGCTCTGATGCGGGGGTGGCAGTGGGCACAGAGGGGCGTTTGTCATTCTCAGGACTGTCCTCAGGGTCATTAAGGATTCCATTAAGCAATTCATGGAAAGTGCTTAGAGTGGCACCTGACACATAGTAACACAGAGTTAAGTGACGGGGGATCTGGAGGTAGATGTTCCTGGGTTGGTTAAGCCAGGAGCACTCACATCAGGGCTCCAGGCAGACTCCCTGCAGCTCTCCTGGCCTTCCCCTCATGGTCACAAGGTGGTTCCAGAAGCTCCAGGCATCTTATCATCACAACTCACACATGCAGAAAAGGGTGAGGGGACATTTCTCCAGCTTCTCCCTCTCTTTTAAAGGGGAAAAAATCTCCCCCGCCCTGTCATTTATCAAGAGCAGGCCATACACTCTAAGGTGGGAAAATGGCTGGGACTACCTTGTTTGGCTTGGACTGATTAGGCTTCATCCTCTGGGGTTGGGCCTATCTCCCTCGACTGTGTTATAGAAAATTAGAATTCTGTTAGCAAGGAATAGGCAGGAGCTGTGATTAAATATCCAAAAGTGTCCACCTGAACCTTTGGGGTTCTCCTGCAGAGCAGGAGCTGGGGCACAGCAGCAGCATGAACCTTGGGACCAGGGAACCTCACTTAAGGTGAGTGGTTCTCCACCTGCCTTTACCTGATTCACCTGAGAGTTCTTAACCTACTAGTACCTGGCTTCCACTCTATACCAGTTAAATATAATCCCTGGGGATAAGGGCAGGTACAGTATTTGTTAAATTCTCTTCAGATGATTCTTACATGCAGGCAGAGTCGAACATCAACTGTTGTAATGCTTCTCCTTGGCCTGACTCAGCTCTTCTGTGTCTGCTTCACATCCAGCCAGCTTACTGTCACTCTCCCACTGTATAAATGTGCTTCTACATTGTGGCTCTTCTGCAGTGTCGGTGTCTCTTTGCCTGACCATTCACAGCCTTAAGCCCCTCCCAGTTCTCCCAGCTTCAACCCCATTGCTCCCAGCTTCACTGTGTCTACATTTCCAGAGTCAGATACTCAAGACTGGGAATGGGATTGGTTGCTGCTCGTCATTTCTCAGCAGGCCACACTGTAGGCCCCTGACCAGCCTGTGGATCTGGAGCCACCCTTGGGGAGAGAAAGGGTCCAGTATAATGGTCAAAGAAAACATGTGGCAGTTGAGGGATGTTTCTTCAGAAGGGGCTGTAACTAGTCAATTCCTCTTAGAAGGAGACAAGGGCAGGGAGACATAGTGATTGACATGTCTAGTTATCTTAGTGATGGCCAAGCCTGCTCCCCAGCCTACAGACCTGGCCACAAGTTCACCCGTCTTCCCTTCTGGCTGTGTTTAATTAATAATAATTTAATTCCACACAGGCAAAACATACACGAAACAGGTGCATGTTATCGCACTGCTCCGTTCCTCAACCAGTGCCCAGAAGGTGCCCAGCTGAGTGCGCTCAGCCCCACAGTCTCACTGAGGGAGGGAAGCACAGAGAGGAGGCTCACTGGCTGTGACGGAGGCTTTTAACAGGCAGCAGTGCATATAACAAGTAAACCAGGAACAAGCTGACCAAGTTCAAGTCCCAGCTTTGCCCTGAGGGCTGTGTGACCTGAGGCAACTTGCTTCGCTCTGCACCTCAGTTGCCTCACTGCAGAATGGGGGTGAGAATAACACCCCTAGGGGCAATGGGGGGGACAATAATGAAGGAGCAAGCACAGTCAGGCTGGCTCCTCGCTGCGTGCCTCTGGGCCCTCTCTAGCAGCAGGTCCTCCCTTGGCTTGATCTCCTGTCCTTGGATTTGCAGCTGGATGGTGGAGCAGACCCCTAGAGGCTAAGGGAAGGAGGCACAGTCCCTGGAACCTTTGTGTGCTTTGTAGGTATTAATTCACAGGAAGGATGGAGCTCACTTGAGCTTCCTGGCCTAAGTCATGTTAGTGGAGATGTGGGTTGACCAGGGGTTCCCCAGCCCCTAAAGGATAATGGCCGTGTCTTTATTATTACCCTAGTCTCCAAAGCCCCCTCCCCACTCTCAGAAATCATGAATTATCACCTGGTTTCTTTAATAGACACAGTGAATAAAAAAAAAGGTGCTCAAGTCTTGACTACCCAGGAAAAATAGCAAGTTTTCTAGTAACCTTGGGCTGGGTGATGCTCATTTTGTGTCATAAGGGCTTCCATGTTCTCTTTTAACAGTTGTGTTTTCACTATCCTCATCATCAGGCCTTTCCTGGGCATTGCGTAGTCTCCATACATGGCTGAAGCCCTTCCCCGGAGAGTCACCGACAATAGTGACACAGTGGCCAGCATCTGTGTACGTGTGTGATGTGCCTGGCTAGGCATGTCACAAACACATGATCTCATCCTCAGCACACAGAATGGGTGCTGTTCTTTCTACAGATGAGGGAAACTGAAACCAACAGAGTTCATGCAGCTGGCAGTAGCAGAGCCTTGAGGGAGCCCGTGTTTGTGTGCTTGAATCTGTGCATTCAGTTTCAGCTCTACTAGCTTCATAAGGTTCTTGTCCATGGGGCCTGCATCTAAACACAGACCCTGATGTACACAGAAAAGAAAGGACACACTGACAAATAAAAGCATTAGGGAAATATAAAATAAAATTAGAGAGCATACACTTACGTCCCTTGTAAACAGCAGAGGTTGAGAAAATGAATAAGAAGTCAGTGTTCCAGTAGGAGTGCCTAGGATATGACAGGTATGTGATGATTTTTTTTTTTAATGAATGGCCAAGGGAAGTGGTCACCACCCTGAGCAATATCTGAAAAGTTTTCTCAGGAAGAACTTGAGGACGTGTTGTTAAGATGGTGAAGATCTCAAACACTGATCAAATATTTTTGGAACCTGAGTAAATAATTGTTGGTGGTCAGGCTGTTTGATCATAATTCCCTGCATCCCCCTTCCCATGTTTGGCTCAGGGGAACTGTGGTTTCACCATCCCTGACCATGGTCAGACCCTACAGAGCACAGTGCCCTCTTCAGAGGCTGTCGGAACAACAAGTCCAAAGCATGCCCTTAGGAGGAGCATTTGGAGAAAACTGGGAAGAGACTCAGGGAGTCCTGGGAGCTGGGTTTTTCCAATCATTGTCCTCAAAACTCATGTTTTGAATGTCTACTGTGAAGAGTGGGTGGACGAAAAGAGTTCTCAGAAGGCCTACAGTTGGGTTCACATAAATCATGTGAAGCACAGTGGCGACACAGGGGGTTCTGTGGGGTGTAGGAGGGAGGGGAGCCCTCCAAAGACCAGGTGGGATTGGTGGAGGGGAAAAAAGAGGTATAGAGTGGGTCCCAGAGGCAGGAGTGCTGATGGAATGTTCTGATGATGGTGGGTTTGACTGGCTTGCTTACAGTTAAGGGTTCTGTGTAAGGACGCAATTGTACATAAAATTGGAGACAGAGGAAAGACCCTAAATGCCAGGTTAAGGAGTGAGGACTCTCTTACAGGTTGCAAGACACTGCCACAAGGGAGGTGTATATTCATTGGTGTTTGGGAAAAATTCATCTTGTGGCAGTGAGGAAGAACTGGAAGAGGGGAAAACCAGAGTGGGTGCGCCAGACACAAGGAGGTGGGGCTCTGGACCAGGGCCAGGGCAGTGATGGAGAGTAAGGGCAGATGAAGTAGAGGAATTGGAGGGGAAAGTGACTGGATGTGGGGGAAACAGGTGGAGTGAACATCGCTCTAATGTCACACATCCAAGAAAAGCTTCATGTGAAATAAGGAGTAAACTTGTTGACAGAGCCTCAGAGGACATAACCAGGACCACCTTAGCTTCTAAGAAGGCAGATCTGGGCTCAGTGTTAGGAATATAGGACTAAAGCTGTCCAAGAATGGATTTAGCAGCATCAGGAGTGAGCGAGTGCCCAGCGAGATGCTCACGGTGTGGGGTGGCCATCTGCCAGGAGGGCTGCTGGGTGGGAGAGTGGATGCGAGGCCTGGTGACCCCATGACGGGGAAGGCAGGGCGCTGCAGACAGGCGATCTCACCTGGGGGGAGGATGAGAGATGGGAGGTGGTGATGCAGGAGTGGGCGGAGAACAGATGTCTGAATCGAGTGGAGGGAGCAACCGGTGCTGGGAAGAAAGAATGAGTGGGACGAGGTTGTCTGCTTCTGCGGCCAAGCAGGAGCCTCAGCACCTTGAGTCCCCACTGCTCTGGGATTAGGCCTTTGGGTTATTTGGGTCCCAGGTTACATGGGTCTAGGTTAAAAAGAT